CTTATTACTAGTAATATTATTATTTATATATGGTGAACCACTTCAGCACTTTAGACATAGCAACAATTTCAAACAGATATAGTAATTACAAATCTTAACAAAACATTATCGTTATCATTATTTTTGTTATTATTGTTATCATCAATATGCAAACTTAATTTTCTGAAATGTTTTGGGTCGTCATGTTTGTCCTGGAAGAGTTATTCAGACTTTAATATGAGCAACAAATACCTTTGTACGGAGATTATCGTAGCAATTCCATCTATTCATTGTATTCCACGACTCACTTCAATCACAACACAATAAACACGTACACATAACATCCTGGTCCGGTCAAGTTGGCATTGGATTTCTGCAGGTCATTTTATTTTCCTACACTGTAGTAGTTGTAGTAGCTAGTAAATCTTCTTTGTTATTATTGAAATAGTACTTTAGGGCCAAGTCTAGTTTGTAGTTCTTTGTCATAAAACTTATGGTAAGGCAATTATGATATAGTGCTCAACGCAAGCCTTGCTCAGTTGAGCTATTTAATTACAGTATAACATGTTACATTACAACATTATGCATATTCAATGTATTCCAAGCAAACCTGATGCATATTAATTACATTTCTATTATGTAATTGTAAACATATACATATTAATTATTCATATATAAAATATAAAGCTAATTACTAAGCATACATTAAGTAGGTTCATATATACTCATGTAGGACCATTCTTTCTCTGCTATCAAAATGGTGGGCCCTTATGCATATTAATAAGTAATGAATAATCATGATCATTCATAAGTTTGTAACTGAGAGTGTATATAATATCTTACAAAAATATTGTTACTTTACAAAAGGAGGAATTTAATTAAAATATAAAATTTAAAAGAAAATATTAAATACAAAGACGAATTGAAAAATAATATAATAATGGTCTGATATGTTAGATTATGAATCTGAAGTTATATTGATTTATTTTATTAAGTAAAGGAATAAAATAATACTATCAATTGCATATTTATCAATATTTTAAAAGATATGCTAACATTTAAATTAGTATACCTGATTGGCCAAATGACTCAGTTGGTAGATCAACAGATTGGTAATCAGAGGGTAGTAGGTTCGAATCATAAATGAGGTACAGTATACATTTTTCTCAGAAAATCTAGAATTTAAAATTAAAGATGTACACAACTGTCACAGGAGGAAGTGCAAGGGATATGTTACATACATTAATCGTACAAAAATCTAAACCATCTCCCTCTACATCGCATCACCAGAGTGTTATTAAGACCTTCACGTCACTTTGCATTTCGTGCTATGAGCTTCGAAAATCAGCATTCTAAAAAACTCTTTAAAAATACATAAAATTCATCGGAAATATCCAGAATTTTATTCCCTTAGGAAATAAATAAAATGCATGTGATTAATTTTATTAATTGTATTATCAATTATGAAGACCGTTGAAGACAAATGAAAGTGACAAGTTGGTTAATACTATTTATGTAGCTTCCTGTAATTGGGTAAGGATGACTTTGCATAATGTAGACAAACAGGTGCACCAATACTTTTCGTAGGCCTACGATTGCAACATGTTGGCGAGCGCATTACAGCACTCAAATGATGCTTCGAAGGTCTTCCCTAGGGACATTAATGTTAGGCTAACAACTTGATCAAACACTGCATGCCACATACGCCCTCTATACCCCTATAATATTAATACATTATTGTTCACAAACATCATAATTTGTACTATGCTAATAAAGTGGTCTAAGTCAACCTAAGTTTTAGACTTTAATTATTTATATTTTTTATTATGGTAAGGGTTTGTATGACTGTATTTAAATGACAATTTAATTCACCTAGGCCTACTATTAAATTGTAAACACATAAATCACTACTCAAGTTTAAAAACTTTCTTGATGATTTAACCAAGTCCTAGGGGAGTTTATGATTTTGCCTCACCCTTAGCCTGATAGTGACTGAAAAGAAAAGATTTACTGCAATTTAAAAACCTATGTAGTCCTACCAGTATATAATAATAATAGTTTTGTTATTATGTAGTGTTATTCATTTATGTTAATGATTCATTTTCAGTTTTATTTTGAAAACATAATCTCATTTCTACCACCATTTCATTATCTCAAATTGCTTTTCCTTTTGGATCTTGTTTATTCATTAACTTTTCTTGTTACATTACTAAAATCAATTTAAGTATACATAAACCTGGTATGCTAGCCCCTAAGTTGTCGGCACTTTTGATTATTTAGTCTATTTAAAATTGGTACATTTTAAATGTTTGATTATACTGTATTATTATTACTTTATTGTCTTTTATATAAAATGTGTTAGATTCATAAAGCAAGTCTTATATAAAATGTGTTGGATTCATAAAGTCTTAAATTTTAGACATACATTTTACTATTCGATCAAGTGCATTTATTCAACACTGTTAAAATTGTATTGCTAAATAAATACAATTTGTTGAATCAATTAAGTAGTTGTTCACTTTGTCCTTTTTAAAATTATATTGGCATAGTGAACTTTATGTGAACTATCATTTCAATCTGAATGGAAGTCCAATGATATAAAGTAAACAAACAAATATAATAGTTTGTTATGTGGTTATGACCATCAACCCTAGTGTCAGAGTTCAAAATCTTGTGTTGTTCTTCCCACTACAAATACAGTCGAGTCCGCCAAAGTCGACTCTGTTTAAGTCGAAAATTCGCGTCAGTCGAATTTTTTAAAAAGTCCCAATTCTTTCCTATGTATTACTGTGTAAATTGTTTGTTTAATTCGAATTTGAAGTCGAAGTCGAAGTTCGGCTATATCGACGGAATTTTCCTGTCCAGATAGGCCGATTTTAAAGTACTGTAGTTTGCCTCTTTCCCTAATTTAATAACTTATTAATCCCAGGGAAAACATTTTAAAGCCCTCCTTAAAAAAATAATATATATATATATTTTAAGTTGGCATATTTTTTTTAATTATTGTATTTCATATTGAATGTGTTGGACTCATTTTGAAACTGTTATGTTGCTATGTAAACATGATTTGTTTAATCAAGGAGGTACTGGTTTAATCAGGTAGATGTTTGCAACATGCACTGTATTCTTCATCATATTTAGAATACTGAACTCTATCTGACCTAACATTACAAACTAAACAGAAGTCTCATGATATAAAGTCAACATAAAACTACATAATCGAAAATGTAGTCTGTATAAAATTTTGGTTGTGTTGTAATTAACATTACTATACTTTTTAGATTTCCAATAGGAATGAATCTATTAAGTTGAATTTTTGAAGGATTTTTTAGATGAAAACACAGACATTATATATTTAATGATAATATTATAATTAATTCTCTTAAAAAAAGTAATTTCCTCTGTAAGCAACAGATATATACATAAACACAAGTTATTCTTATCAAATCTGCATTTTATTTGAAAATCACTCTATATGCAAAATATATGCACAACCTCTTCAAGAAAGACGGGGAACAAAGTTGAGAAACCACAAATACATCTTGAATCAATTATTAATATTAATATTTGTAAACAATAATTATTAGCGCCATGGTATTAAGCAGATACCTATTATTTCTGAACTTGTTAGCTTTAATTAAATAACACTAACGAATAGCAGGCTTTCTTTCTAATCTAAGTACTTTATTTTCATTGCAACTTAGACTTGTTTTATCATCCTACGAAATCTACAAGAAGTTTTAAAACTTAACAGAATACAATATTATAAGTACAAATAGTGTAAATATTTAAATATAATTAAAATTATTAATTACTAAAACATTCCTTCATAAAATCTATAAGACACTTACTGGCTTGTTCTTATTATCTCCTAGAATGTCACCCTCTATGGTACAATTCGGTGACAGGTTCCGGAGACAGATAACTGGGATGAGTATACCCTGTCGTAACTGACAAAATTATTACTTCTACCACCACAAATGAGTCTTGTTGCATCAGTGACCAAAAATGTGATAATGTTGCCACCATATTTCAGTTTAAAAAGCTAGTTGCTAGCTGAGCGTTACCTAAAAGTGGAAATATTACTATGAAAATGTGTGCTAATGAAACTTGGAAAAAAACAGTGGCTACCAAGACAACCCATATTATGTTTTTAGCACAAATATATTTTTTGAACACCACATAAAGCATGAATTTAACACAGTCACCATATAACAATTTATGAAACACATTTCCACTAAAATTCAGTTCCCTTTCTTTTGGGAAGGTCCAACCAACTCAACTCATTTTGTGGTGGGGAGTGAATTTTCATTTTCGTCTCTCCCCCTGCGACCCCTATCCTGTTTTAAAAATCTTGAATACACTTTCCAATGATTGGAAACGCTGATATTGTAAACTCATTATTAACATGACAATGTCCCTTATAAAATCATATCAGTACTTTTCCATTACATGCAATCATTCAATTTCTAATTTACATAAAATTTGATACCTTAAATATAATGAATAAATTAGATAACATATGAAATAACTATTAGGTTTTGAATTAATCTATTCAGATCAAAAATAAATCTACAACAATCATTGTCCAGGCAAAGGGTGTCAAAAAACAGATGGAATGTTATATTTTGGCACAAAAACATTGGCACATAAAAGTAAAAACAAAATGATCTATACATGACAAACAAAAACATAATATATATTCAAACATGACAAAAAATATCCAATTTTGTATTTAAAAATAAATTTAAAATTGGGTTCTTTTATTTCAAGCAAACAGTTTTTTGTATCACATTAGAGTATGGAAAGCATACACTGTCAAGGGGCTACATGATGATGTAACAATGTTGTCCGCAATAATTCTTGTTTTCTATACATACATTTGTTTAAATTTACACTGTATGTGTTGACCAAACAAACAATAAACAATATTATTCAAATTGCTTACTTTACTATTTAATTGAATAATTAGTTTCACTTTATAACAAGAGAATAATTTGTTTTCGATTGAATTTTTGAGGTTTTTTTTTTTCAGACATCATCAAATATTCCAAGCTTACATTTGCTCAAATGTGAAGTACTTCATCATTCATATTATTTCAGATTGCGTTATACTTGTTTCCTTTTTACATTTTAAATAAAAAAATATGTATACGATAGGTAGATTATTTAATGATTGATTGCCTATATTTTAGAATAGTACGGTCTCCAGACGTCCTCTTTGCGATCATCGCTTGGAGGGAGTGTGTGGCCGGAAGACGTTACAGCTGGCAAATGGCTAATCACTCGTAGATGATCGTCGTTTCCTGGTATCCCAAGGTGATTGCTCATCGGCATGTCCATTCGCCGTGTGATGTCATCAAAAGGTATCATGTGATCTTGTCTCATTAAAATGTCTGCCTCCTCTTTGATCGTTGACTTTGATTCATGTTTGTCGTTTGACGTTGGCAACATCTGCAGATGCGACGAACCATCGTAGAAAGGCGCTGAAGGAGTGTGAGCTGTTGGCGATGTCATATACAGGTGTGGATATAGATACGTTGGCGATGTCGGGAAAAATGGTGATGACGTAAGCGTTACTGGCGTTGTTGGGGTACTGAACAGATCTCCAGGCGAGGGGAGAGGAAATGAAGATGATGGTGAGAAAAAGGGTTTTGTATCCATGCTACTTGAGAGGGGATTTGAAGTGAATGGCGTTGAAGCACTTGGATATGCAAAGCGAACGTCGTTAACCGCTCCAATACTTTGCCGCTGCACCGGGTAGCGTGAATCATGTTTACCGTAAGGTGTCAGCGTAGTGAAAGTGTTACTAGCCATTGGGTTCAACTGGGTCAATTGTTGCGCGGCCTCGTGTTCAGCTGTCATAGATATTGGCGTTTCGGACGCTGTCCTGGCAGGAGTATGCAGAGAAGATGATTGGACGCCAGGCGTGAAGAAACTTCCAGAGTAGTACGGGCTTGTCCATGACGTTGCTTTAGAAGGCATAGCTACTTGTGTACCATCTATGAAACAAAATTATAAACATTGTTTTTACTATATTATATACATAAAAAATATTCTTAGATAGAAAGTCAAGAAACTTTTTCTCAACTGAAAACATTACATTGCTTAAACAATTCTTTACGAAAATGTGAAATTCAGATAAAATGTTATAATTCAAAAGAAATAACAATACTATACTACAGAACAAACAGTTAAACTTGAACATAATGTATTAATAAGACATTACAACAAATTCCTATTAACTAGCTAGAACATAATTCAGTTTTGAGGAATTTTGTCTACCGGTCCATAGTTTTGGATTAACATGTGCAAACAATTAAAATAAATTATAGGTTATTATATAAGCAATACGGATGACAATGAGTCACCATTACATTACACACCATGGTATCCTATTTAACTTAACAATGATGGCTGCCTGCCAACAGACGAAACTCTCGTTGCAGTAATATAGACAACAATCATTAGGCAGCTACAGTAAATACATTTCCTCACACAACCCCTGAAGTGTGTTTTAAGAAAGAATTTTAAGTTTCTGGATCGTTGCATTAGATGTTTATTAATAGTCATACAGTAGAACCCCTTCTTCGGGACACCCTATATTAGGGGACACTTTTTTGTTCCTGAGGGTGTCCATTTAATACAGGTTTTACTGTAGGTTAAAACAAATCTTGTCATTTCAGTGAGTTTTTTTCTGGAGTTGTGAATTAATATTATGTGAGCATGTAAAATCATTTTGTGGTCAAAAAGGGAAGTGAAGTTACAATATAAATGGCAACATTCTAAAAATAGAGTCTTACCAATGATAATTAAGACAATTTATGATAGTTTTTCCCAATTGTACAGCTAATATTAGCACCATGTGATGGTGATTATTTGATCTTTTTAACTTCAGATATTAATTCTCTTGACCTCTTAAGCATGTGATAAAAAAAGTCACTATTTTTGGCAATTTAATAATTTTGTCAAACTTTGTTTAAAAGGATGTAGCATAATGCAGATATTACAGTAATTGAAAAATCACATGATATAAAAATATTTTACAGGACTTACTATAATATCATGTGACCATAATGTGACCATCATGTGTTGGAATATATTCTGCAAATATTTTGGGAGATAAAAGGGAAAATGTGAAGAATTATAAGTTACAGTAACTAGCCTCATCATAACAGAGGTGGCAGTGTGAACAAATGCTAATCAGGAGTCTTGGATTCGAATCCAGATGGGTACAAAACATTTACAGAAAAACTATCATCCTTATATACAGTTTAATATTGTTTGATCTGTATTGCCTACAGGCACTATTCTGTCTAGTATTCCTGTGAGTTTTAATAACATAGGCGTATACAAATTGTTGGGTATGGTAATTTGTTTCCTGTATAAATACCAAATAAAGTTTCAAAACTAAAATGCTGATGTAGTTCCGTTGGAAATTATCATTCATTAGTATTATGAAGAATATAAAAAACCAATTTCCTCTGTCAGTTCAACATTTTTGCCTAATACTAACACAGAAATAGTTTCATTTTTTATTTCCTGTCTTTTTATCAAAGGTTTTAAACGAAGGCTTATTGAATGAAAATAGAGTTGTTTTGATTGTAGGGAATTAAACAAACATGATTTGTAGTGTAAGAAAAGTGATGAATTGTATGTTTGAATTGTGACTGATGTCATCCTGCTAGGCCGACCTTGGCAACTGTTTGCTCACATGGCCAGATGCCCTGAAGTGAACTTTCCACTTAAGCTCAGCTAGGGCTCGCTCTCTCTGCCTCTCTCTCCTGGAACATATAGTATAAACATCCTGTCGTTTTCCAAGAAACTATACAATTTCGCAATCGAAAAAATAAAATCCTAAAATCCAACAAAAACACTATGATGGGATACACAGATCACAGTTTATTAAAGAAACACTGCAAGTTCTTATTCATTAATAATGTGATGATGTTGACAATAATAATAATTTTAATAATAATAATTTTAATAATAATAATAATAACAATAACAATAATAATAATAATAAGGTAGAATTATAAAGCGCAATAAAAAATGAAAAAATCCTAATTAAATATTATTATTTCATAAATATTACTTTCTATGCCTACTTTATTTATGAAAATGGAATAGATACATGTACAGTTTGTATAGTTTTGCATTTTTACGTAAAAACTTCAATTTTAATTAATGAAACATACAAGGTAAGTTTCATAGTAATAAAATTAGTACAATTAGAATATATAATTTCCTTTTATTCAAAACAGTGGTGGAGCCAATCTAGCCAGCTCCCTGGCTGTTATACAGAACTTTAAATTACACATTTAAAAGTTAATCATTGTTGGCAGCTCTAGCATAGGATATCTTATCACTATAAAAAAAAATTGCCAATGATTGGTGCACTCAAAAAAGTTTAAGATCAGAAAGATATACACCCACCCCACCCCAACTTTCCCCATTTAGTCTAGTTGATGCCTTGCACTAACCAAAGACACATGTCTTTTGACACATTGTTTTAGTCGGTAACTCTTTCAGCACATTACAAGAATATTAACTACAAATGCCAAAACCAAGGAATAATACATAACTGAATGATTGATTGTTGATTTAGACTACAAAATAACATTTAATAACGGAGCTTTTAAACTTCTGGTTGAAGATTATGATTATTAGAATGGCACTAGAAAAGACGCATTCTACGTGTAACTTATCCTGTTTAGGTGGACATTTTGATTATTGAGTAGGCAGTCATTACAAAATTGATGAATTCAAGGAAGAGGCTGTCTCTTATACACATCTAGATGTGTATAAGAGACAGGTGTATATTTTACCTTCAATTACAAAGTGTCACTCGTTACAATAATTTATTTAAATAACATTAACGAAAATATAATTCAATATAATACGGTTACTAATACTGTAATCTATATAATTTTCACATAATTTTAAAGGTAAATCTAGGAATTATATATAATATCGGCCTATGTATTAAATCAATTTTTTTTTTACAAATAAAAATAATTTATGATAACATGCTATTTATATATAAAATTACTACAACAATAAAAAAATAATCACTAATATTACAAAATTTATTTGTTTTGATTTTTTTTCATTAACCAAAAAAATCAATCATTCAGATACTGGCGTTGAGTTCAGCTAACAGGTCACTTGAGTACAGTTTGCCTTAGTGGTCACTTGAGATGGCCTACATGGTTACATAGCCACATAATCACTATTGTTTTTCAAACGATTCATTTTCATTAATAAAAACTTCTTTTTAATCTCAATCAATTCCATCTCGGCATTATTTAACGCCATTACTGCCTCGTGTTCTTGTTCTATATATCGTCTACGCATTGTTAACAGTTCCAGATTTGCTTCCTCACAATCTACATGGACATTCCGTTGCTGGTTACCGTACACGCGCGAGCTACTAGTGAGTTGTTCTTGGTCATTATACGTATGATGTGACAAGACCGAAGGTGGTCGGTAGGAATAAATGCTTTCATTATTTTCATATTCACTGACCGAAGAAGAACGACTTGGGGTGTCTGAATGGTCTGGAAAAAAGAAAGAGTCATCATTGCAATTATTCGTCCAATGGAATTTAGCGCATGATGAAGTTAGGCACACTTGAATGTTTATTGCGTCAACTTCAATCTGACTGTTCTTCAAATAAAAGAAACAGATATCTATAAGCTTCCAATCAAATTGTAAGAAAGTGTGCCTCACTTCATCAAACCTTTCCAGAGGAGAATAATGCACGATGAATCTTTCATTTTTCATTATTATTATTAACTGGAAGCGAACCAAATAAAAGTAAAAACAAATCATTTTTCATTATCATTATTAACTGGAAGCAAACCAAATAGAACTAAAAACAAATACGTTTTTTTTCTCCTACAATTGGCGCAGCTCTAGTAGTTTGAAAAACGAGATATTACAGTTTTTAAACTGGCATTCTAGAAGGTGGTATATTAAATTTTCTAAATTATTATAAGAAATAATACAGTTTGGGGCCTTTATTATCATTTTTATCGTTTTGAGAGCTCTCTTGGAGAGTAATAATTAACATAATTAATTAATGGCTTTGTCGAATGGGCCTTCCTCATAAAAAAATTATCATAATTAGCAAATTATTATAGCGATTTTTGCTATTAGGCCCTATAAAAAATATTATTAGTTTATCACCCTATCTGGGCAGGAAAAGTGATGAGGGAGGGAGGTTTTTTTTTGTTTTGCTAAAGCCAAATATCACCCTTGGGTTGTTTGCTGGTGCATTGATATTCAAAGTAAAACATGATTTAGATAAAGCAAACAATATCTACTAACTATTTAATAAAATAAATGAAAAAAATTAATAAATAAAATAATTTTTAAAAAAAAGCCCCCCCCCCCAAATTTTTTTTTTTCAAAAAAATTTTTTTTTCAATTTTTTTTTTTCAGTGCCATAAGAGACATGCGCGTGAGGGTGATAAACTAACAATTTTTTTTATTGGGCCTTATCAATTTTACTATCATTATTAAAGGTGAATTTCTCTTTTAATTATATAGTTTGTCAAAAACATTAAAAAGTACAGCATACAGTAAACACATGAAATAAACCTTCATCAAAATATATCTAAACACTAAAAAATAACAGCTAAAAACCTGACAGGAATGCTCAAAAATGGAAGTTCACATCTAGCTAAGAAATATATTAATTATTAATTAATTATTACTAATTATTAATTAATAATATTATTAATATACATGTCTTACATATTCAAAAGTAGGTTATCATTCATTGTAATATAGTGACCCATTTTAAAATGGCAATTCTAGTGTGAATTACATTGCAAAGATTTAAGTTTGAGCTGCAGTTTGAAAATATTAAGTCTGCTTAAAAGCCTTTAATACAACGGCGTCCCTATACTGCAGATTAAAATGGACAATCAAGGTCTCAAATGCTCTACCATTTAACATAACAACAACTCTACTTAGTAAACAACATGCCAACTGAACGATCTGTGGTGATAGTAATGTTTGTTGCAATATTGGGAAAACATATTTTTGGGGTCCCAACATTTCGAAATCCCAGACATTTTTGAAATTTCAGCACGTTTCGCAACTCGGCATTTCAAAACTCCGCTATCAAGATTGTTTTAGCATAGCCTATATCTGTTTGTTCTCTCTGTTAAATAAATTAACTTATAAAAATTATAAAATAGAAAGTTTCTTTTTTAGAAGAAAATAGCAAAATCTTGAATTTGATCAACATGTAATGAAAGCTTATTACAACTGAATATACAATACAATAGTTTCACTAGTACGTTACTAGTTGAAAGTTATGTTTTAGATACTTAGTAATTTCGCTTTTTTTTTTTTTATTAATAACAGAAAACATGTTAAAATAATTGAACAGCTGCTTTATGTTACAATTTTTCGAGATTGTCATCGGTGTCTGTTAAGTTTGTCTTTATCAAGATATGTCTATCATTTTTCCTGTTTGCTTGGAATAGTATAGCTTGTGACACGATGTCTGGCTTCTTTCCACAAACGGAATATAATACATATTGCAACAAACCCCCCTTCATATAATAAATTTGTTAATTAAAAACATCTCTGCACTATTTCACAATAAATTACTTCCCTTGTTATACATATCAACAAATTGAATACGATACAATAAGAATATTATATAAATTATGTATATCTTATCAATTATACTAATTAGATTATTATGTGTATGTATATATATTTGATACCTTGGTTTCACACATAAGCTTAAAATAGGCTGACATGTTTATATAATTGGTACCAACATTATTGAGAAACAGCTTACATGCACACTGCAATGCACTTATTGCAGAATAATTGCAGTCCATAGTGTTTTTTAGGCTAATCTCTTAATGAAACCTCTTTGTAAATCAATCATTATGCTTCACGCCAAAAAAAACCTCTCATTTTATTTATTATCAGACTGGCTCAATTTATTCAAAGCAATAGGGCCAAATAAAAAAAAAATAAACATTGTTTATTGTTGTACAAAATTGATGAATTCAAGGAAGAGGCATATAAATGTGACAAAATGATGTTTAAGGCCCTAGAAAAAATATTACTAGTTTTATTACTCTATCTAAGCTGGAAAAGTAATGAGGGAGGGAGGCGTTTAAAAAAATTTTTTTTTTTTTTTGCTAAAGCCAAATATCACCCTTGCGTTGTTTGCTGGTGTATTGATATTCAAAGTAAAACATGATTGATATAATACAAACAATATCTACTAACTATTCAATTTTTTTTTTTAATTTAAAAACCAATAGAAGACATGCGCGCAAGAAGATAAACTAACAATTTTTTTTATTAGGCCTAATGTTTAATGAAAATGTAAATAAATACTTGTATATTTAACTTACCATGGGGGGAATGATTCATCATGTTACTTGTGGTGGGTAGGGAGCTGAGGGGTTGGTGAATACCCTTCCTCTGGATGTCGGGTATTTCGTCTTGGTACATCATGCCGCTGTGGGGGTTCATGTGGTGAGGTGAATGCATGCGTACATCATCCGGAACCTTCTGTCGAGGCCCTAAAATTATAAGATTTCAAAATAAATCTCTAAACAGATAAGTCTGAGTTTTCACAAATACAATAAAACAAAACATGTAAACAGTTAAATATGTCAATCTTGATCGTCAATCAAAACCTTAATATTTTTTGTATTTTTCATTAATTATTCTTAATATTATTTATTTAATTATTTAAATATATTTTTTAAATTAATTTTTTCCATATTATCATTGTCCAAATTTCAAAAAAAAATTAAAAGGTTGAAGTTTATTTATTTTTCTTAATTGTGAGGCCAAACACAGTATAAGAGCTTCATACATCCATGTAGGAACAAAAACACTTATTCAATAATACCCTAATGTAGCCTCTCTCCTGGGCCCACATCTTCCAAAATTGTGTACTATATCTGTCCCAAAATATACCTGCTAAATCTAATATCCTGCACCTATTTAATTTTGTTTTTGCAAATATTTATCCGGTACCCTTCAAATTTGTCCTGGCAAAAGTCCAAATATCCAAACCTTGTGGTTTAATACTAATTGATGGATACTATAAATTAAAAAAAGGATGCATTGTAATTAAAATTTTCAAAATAAATGAAAAGCAACACAACAAAAGTGTTCTTGTTAATGAATTGTATACAAATTACAAGAATCAAAACAGACTATTATAAATTTAAATTTAACAAAAGTTTTTATTTCATCTATGATATCTATGTTACATTATTATATTATTGTACAATTAAAACAATGAGGCACATGAAGTAACAAATTATTAAAGTCTTAGGCAGGGGAAACTTGGAGTAGAGATTAAAATTATTAACAGCACAAAAATGATCAATGGTAGCAATAAAAACTCAGCTTTAATGTGATCCCGTCCTCATGGATCTGTTAATTAGGTACTGACAAATGTAAAACAACTGAACATTTAAAATTGTAATTCAATTTTAACAATTTAATATTAGAATCAGAAACATCAACATATTTATAAATTCCATAAGTAGCAAAAAAATTTATATTAAGTTATAGATAGAAACAATCTAAGTAGTCGGTTTCATTTTGTAGTAAATTGAAAGGGAAAACTCCGAGAAGAAAATCTGTGTGGATAGTAAGTAAAATTGTAGTCAAGTGGTTTCGAATAACTTCCTTATCTTTAGCACATGCAACAGAGTCATACGCAAGCGTGTAGGAAGTCGCAAATTGGTTCGCTCATGAGACAGTCAGCTGATAACTAGCTTCCCCTCTGGACTTGTGAATAAACTAAGCTAATATATCATCAATAATTTACATTAAGCCCTACTACAGATTGCATTTTAGAATACAAATTATGTAGATTAGCAAGATTTGTTACACCTTCCCTGCATCCTCGCTCTCCAATCATAAACATATGTTATGGTATGATGCAACCAAATTAACCAGAATTCATAACCACCTATATTTTTTCACTGTAGGGTAGTTTCTTTACACAATGCTACTGCATATGTCAAAGATTATAAAAGCTGAATAAGGTAGCCAAACTACCTTTTGTTGGAGTGACTATAGACACACGTCTAACCACGGAAATCCCATCAAAGGAACGAACAAATGTATTCGAAAGTCAGACTTAGCATAACCGACAAAGAATCATTGTTCACTCTAGCTTAAATCATCTTCATAAATCTATTACTCAAACTCTAATATTTTAAAATACTAGTTAAGTCTTGTAAAATATATTTGCTTGTACTTTAAAACTTTATCCATGAAATGAACCAGAACAGGTTTGTGCTTTTTTGAATGTAAATATAAGTGTATGATAATAATATGATCCTTGTTGAAAAACTGTACTGTCTAAAAATTCCACAGGAAAAACAAATTTTAAAGTTACATTGTCAATTTTGATGGATAAAAGTTATCAATTTGCAAGGGTAAAAGTTATCAATTTGCAAGGGAAGTGTAAGCTTATCCTAAATATGACATTACTAAAGACATTTTCAGAAATGCTACTATAATGTTTGTAAAATTTGAAGACATCTTTTTACTCAATTTAAAATTAAAATCAATAACTCTCTCAAAACTATATAAAATAAGCAATTCAAAAGTTAGTTTGCATTTGTGTGGTTTCAATCAGATAATAAATTTCATAGCATTAATTGTTAAGCAATAAAAATTCAATTTGGTTTATGTATTATCATATTATTTGTTACTATGTCAATCAATTCCATTACAAATAATTGTATTATTTTTACTACACAACAAGCAACAATATCATATAGACGTACTACAGTAGGTCAAATTAAAACTAAACCCTGTTTCTTGATTAATGAGGGCCCCTTTTTCTGTGGTCCCAAATATCCCAAAATTATCATTCTTTTTAAAGGGTATCCATCGTGCACCTGCAAAAGTAAAATTTCACTCCGAAATAAAAAAAAAAAAATTGTTGCTGTGATTATTGTTGTAGGTATTTCCGACTGAGTAATAAATACTAACCTCAAATTAAAACTTAAAGGGGAATTGTGTTTACTTTATAGTTGGTCAGTGAAGTGTAAACTGCCCCTTTAACTGTGACCAATCAATTTTTGCTCCATCAAGTCATTGGTATTTAAGGAGTGTTTTTTATGAGTAGCCATCTGAAGTCAATGACCTTCACCAGTCGTCTTATATGCCAGACAGTATATTATTTTTAAAATATAATTGAAAGATGCTCTTAGACTTAGCGGAAATATCTGTCTAGTATAATACAAGTGTATATTTATTATTTTTAGTAATATTGTCAGTTTCATTATTATTTTATTTATTTAAAAATATAGGACTATATACTCTATTATTTTAATCTGACTCACCATTAAGAATGGAAACAATGATTCGGATGCTTGCATGTAGGTAATTGAGCTTTAGAAAGATATCTTTGAGATTTGGCAGAATTTGAACCAATGACCCTTGGATTAGAAGGTGGGCAACTTACCATCATCCATAGGTTCACATCCCATCATCACAACCATCATTATCACCACCAATACCATTCATCATAACCATCACTATCAATCCCAACCATCACCACCACCACCACCATCATCATCAATCACAACCACCATCCCCATTACTGTAATCATTATCTTTTAATTATTAACGTTTGATGAAATGATTTTTGGGAAGAGTAATTTAAAGTCACTGATTTCAAAAAGTATGTAAAAATCTATCATGAACACAAAGTCAATTATTTAAAAACCTTGACAAAAATGTTAAAAAGATTCAATTAATAGGAGGTGACATCACTAACCTAGGTTAAATTTGAGATTATGATATTTTAAAGCATGCTTCTGAGGAAAACACTTTTTGATATGTTGTACAATTAATATTTTTAAGACACAAAAAGGGTGCTTGACGAAAACACTTGGAAACGGTTAATGAGATCAGGATTTTTGAATACTTAAAAACTGGGGAAAAGTGGCGTAACCACCTTTTTCGCTCCCAATTTTAAATATTCAAAAACCTGTATCTTCAACTGTTTAAGTTTTGTTTTTTGTCAAACTGCCTTTTTGTGTCTTAAAAAACTCAGTTGTACAACATATAAATCAATTTTTTTTTCTCTGGAGCCTGGCTTTAAAACTGCTTTATTATACAGTCATTTTCATATTAGTTGGTAGTTCATATCTTTAACATACTACTGGGAATTCAGTAAAGTTGTCAAGGATTTCTCGGAATTAAAAATTAGCAGAAAAAAAAAGTTTTCCTTTGTCATTAATATTTAAAATGCAAGTGAGTGGAATTCAAGACTTCAACAAATTCATTTGCAATTTCAGTGTATTTTCCAGGAATAATTCCTAAAATGTTTTACCATAACTAAATAGGCTACTGGGAGCCAGGATACATTCCTTAACAAAGTTGTGTCAAAGGTCAAAGTTCCTATAATGAATATGAATTGTATTTTTAACAAGTAATGATTTTAAGGTGTTAAAAAGTTAAATGTACATTACTTGTAGAGCTGTAATAATAATTAAGAAATTATTATCATAATTACATTATTAATAAACATTTAATTTGTTATTAATAACTTACGATTACAGTAGAACCCGTTCCTTTGGGACACCCCTATGAAGGGGACACCCCTATTAAGGGGACACTTTTTCGGGCACAAACAAAGGGAAAGTATATCTTTTAACACTATGGTCAACCCCTATTCAGAGGACATCCCTACAGTATGAAGGGGACACTCTTTTGGTCCCGAAGATGTCCCCTTAATAGGGATTCTACTATATTTGAATTATGACAAAAATTTTATCATTAAAATAGTACATAAAAAAATACCATAATTATACAAATATAAGCAATATTCATAAGTTTCATATGTATTACATGAAAAATAAGTTTCAATTAAGAAAACAAAAATATTCTTACGTCTTGGTTCACGGGGTCCATCAACTGTAACCTTGATGGCTCTATTATACGTAGCAACTTGAGGTGGGTTCGTGTTTATGATGATAGACAGTGTAAAACTTTTGCCTAGAATGGTACAAAGATATTGAATATCTATAAATATATAATTATATAATATGTATATTTTTATATATGTATTATTTAAGTATATATAATAATTAATTAGATTTGCTGCATATCAACATAACAATATTAACTGACATATAGATAGGGCTCGAATATAGTAACATAATATATAAAATTACATGTATAAATTAAATGATTGTCCTAATAAAAAACAAAAGACTTCAGACCAATATGCAGTTGCTGCTAGGAGATAATAAACTACTGTTAATATTGATATGTTAATGACCAAAAAGTTGGTGGGCAAAATAAATTATTTAATTTATTAAATTGGCCTTATTATAGATTCTGTGGTTTACCAAAGGTTTCTTAGGATACAGTATGTGTTGTGTTTGGTTTGGAGTGGCTTTCCCACACTGTTTGTTGTCTTTAGCCAGCATCAAGTCTAATGCTCATTTTGTTTTACTAATACTCTCTAGCATCTGTCTCTTATACACATCTAGATGTGTATAAGAGACAGTAACAAATTTTATCATTCACTGGTTGCGAAATGCAAAAATATCTCCTTGATTCAAGTTTGGTCTGTTTTTTTTTTTTTTCAATTCAAATAATGATATACTACAATACCCTCTTGGAAAATACATATTTATAATGTATGATGTGTATACATCGCATGCGCAATACTTCTTTTCAAGAAACCTGACTTAATGATTCGCTGAACGTGAGGCCAAACAATGTACAAGGTCGTCTTCCACCTAGTCACGTCCTTGGCCCTGTTTCTACATCCAGTTGAAAACCATTTATAAAGCAATTAACCAGACAATTGTACTTTGAATAAACGTATTATTGTGGACTTTTCTACATCACCAATATATTGTTGATTATTGGTTCATCATGAATTAAAAGAGGCCTGATAGAAATTAACAAATTTTAATATTTTTAAAATTATTATTTTACATTTAAAATTACGAACAATATGTTCCAACAACATTTAATGCAAATTTAAAGTAATTATTCATGCCTCACCGTAAATTATTGATATAACTTATGGTCACATCCGTTTTTGTATTTAAATTAATTTATATTCCAGAAGTTTTACAGATGTTAAAAAAATATGTAGATCATAAAAAGGATTCTTGAAAAGGAAAAAAAAAACATAGAATTATGGCTAACATTTTTATCTTCTCCTAGATTTTTATAAATGGTTTTTCCGGATATATCGCACTAGTGATTTATTAAATCATGTATATTTATGAAGGACAATATTTTAATAAAAGCATGATAAAAGTGCAAATATAAAATACGCCCCCACAATCCTTTAGGTAATACATCATTTCCTGCACTAGCTGGATTTACATTGTAAAGTTGCGTCATTGTCCGGTATAACTAAAATTAATAAGTTTGGTCTTTCAATAATATGTCTTATGAACAAAGCCTACGTAATTTCACAGCACTCTATGTAGCGGAAGCACGATCGAGTATAGTACGTACTCCCTGATTGGCCATCACAGCCAAATAGGTCACATGCTTCTAAGTTCAATATCCGACCCGATAAACCAACCAGAGACGTGTTGGCTTATCGCTTCATTGCTTCCATTTCAATGTACATAAAGATAATAACACAACGGTAGAAAAATGTTTGATAAACCAGAAAATAAATACAAAATACTAGTATAACAGAATTAGATATGTCAGGAATGCACGTGGATTGCAGACACGACCTAAATTCAATAATCGCGAAGCGCGAATTGTTTCGTTTTCGCGGAAAATCCCCCATCGGCGTTACATGACTTTATCACTAGCATGTGCTTATCGCCATCAATACACAGCCATGCTGAAAACATGAGATTTAGAATAGACGTGAAACTAATAAATTTAACCATGCGTGGTATTAAATATTGATTGTTAATTAATGTTTTTATAAACAATTAATTATAGGAAGATTGCTCAACAATAAGGAATTATGCGATTATCATATGCACCGGAAATTTAAAAGCTTATTCACCATGTATAAAGCAAAATAGATAAGCGTTAAGCATTGTAATTTTTCCGGTGGAAAAAGAAATAAACGAACGCAGGAAATGAAAGTAGCCTAAATTGAATAACCATACTAACCCACTTTAGACAACCATTTAGTAAAATATAGTTTGATTCCACCCTATTAGGATTCCATAATTAGAGTTAAGTTTTAAAAACCATAGTTTAATTGAGCTTTAACCATAATTACCAAAATATAATTACTAACCTCGCCCCGATCTGCCCACAAACCGCAGATCGTTAAACCTCGCTACTTGATTCTTCATAACGGCTGTGAAGTTACGAAGCTCGGCACAGTAATTTTCATCATTGCCAGCAGCTATTGTAACTGGTGTTCCGTCCGGAATCGGTCCAAGAGATACAACTTTGAAAGCAACTGGTAGGCTTTTATTGCACCTCCAATGTGATGGCAAAACACTGCACACAAAGTTGGGACTCTCAGTCCTTACAAGTTCACCGGGATATTCCGCAAAAGCTTCCACAATACTCCTCTCGCCGCCTTTGAACGGTGATTGTTTTCCAGTCATTTTGTGGTTGTTTTTTGAAGTAGAGTTGTGTTTGATATCTGCTATATGGTCGTTTTCATAAGCCGACATATTATGGCGAGGACGATCCAAATGCATCGGGTAGGTTTGCTTCAAAGACACGTTTCCAGACGCACTAATACTCTCTAGCATAGTGACTAAACACGACCACTGCGATTTTAACCGTCCGTTGTATAATTGTTAACCGACACCTCAGGCGCGCATGGACTGAACAACCAAAACCGCAATGTTTCGTTGAATGACTGGATAAATACTATTAACTTCAAACACGGTGTGTTTTTCTTTGATAGTCCAAAGGAGGTAGTATTGGGTAGTAATTAAGTATCGAAAAAAATGATCTTGAAGTTGTTCTACTGGACGATTACAAAACACTGTTGACGATAACTGAACAAAAATCAAACTGACGACAATAAACTATAAAATTATTCACCGGCCCTGATCCAACTTCAAGGTAATTCTTTATACGTGGCTGGAGTGAGGAACTTCGATTGTGAATTTACTTTTCACACAAATGATTGACTCTGTGTTATAAGAAAATGCGATGAATCATCGGCAGAACGTCAACGAACTTCGTTCGGTGGGATCCACCCACACAGGGGCGTTATCGACCAATCAGATCGCTTAGTGGGCTGGGCTACTTTGGTGACTAAACTGATAAGCCACCGGAACTAAGCAAGAACACCGTGTCAAAACAAAACAGTGTGAAAGCAGTTGATACTTTCGCGTCGTGTTCCTGTGATTTTCTGAGTAAAGAAGTGATTACGTTTGACTTAAAGTATGCCTCAAGGTCTAATGATACGTGTTCAGTCTGTAGAGTACAGGGTTTATCGACCTATTTCACGGTTTCGCTCGTAGGCTTTGTGTGTGTAGGCCTATACAGAATTAAGCCTGATTCCAACGGAAATACGTTTTATAGTTTACTATACTAAAGAATGGTAGAACTAAATCGTCTTATACCACCAGCATACTGTACTAACTTCAGTGTCGTATCCAGGTTTATCGTGGTGAAAGTGTGCGGGAGGTGGCGCGCAAAAAAATTGGCCTGAAAGTCCGTCTGCGCATTTCGGAAAATAAGGGCTGATATTATGCCGTAATTACGATTCTGGGCACTGCCAACCGTATTTTCCTAGCGATTTTCCGCACAAATTCATTAGAGCTGATTTTTGAGGTATCATCCACGTAATTAAAAAAAATGACAGGGGGGGGGGGGAGTGGATACAAGATGGACCTACTGGTCTGGGATCAGGGGAAGAGCAGGTTGGGTCGCACCTCAGATTTGTCATTACTATAGCAACGTTAATGCCCAAATACTGGCATTAGGTTAGATTGCTGGAAATTTAATGATTTAAGATTACTTTTTGATCATAATACAGAAAATAACAAATTCTGTATCCAGTACATTCCCAAATGTCTTTAAAATGTGGACTGTCTTCTCCAATAAGGAGTCGCACCCATTCCCCCACCCCTTTTATACTTTGCTTCCTTCGAAAATAGAATTGCAGATCTAAAAGGATTAAATAAGCTATGAATTTCCAGTGAGAAAATGAGAAACAATTCATTCATTACCAATTTACAGCCGTTTTTCTATGAAACGCCTTTGGCTAAGCTAATTTAATGACACCTCTACATATAGGCCGGAATGAACCGTTTCGCTAAGGCCCCGCCCCCTTGGACATTGTTGATAAGGTACCAAAAACGACAACGTAAACGTTCGTAATCATGTGAGCTTGTGGGACATGCGCGTATTCATGGCTCTGTTTGGATTGGTTATTTGTTAAATTTGATTGACACTCCTGAATGATCTGCTAAAACGGTGTTAAGAAAAGCAATATAACGCTCCATTTTTTATATTTTTTTATTATAGGTATATTTCATCAAGAATGTGATTATATGCTATAGGCCTTAATGGATAAACGTCGTCTACAACTTAAGACCAAAACTAATGCGAAATGATCCGATGCTTTCATCTAATCATATAGATGTTGGCTCTTTTTGAAGTACAACAAATTATCAACTTGAACATAGACATCAGTGTATTTAAAAAAAAAAATTACCCATAATGATAGAAACACTTCCATTATCATTATTCGGTATAAAAATCAGGGTAGACATTTTCAAAATTCAATAATTTCTATGCTCAATATGTATGTTACTGCAAAAATGAGCAAGTTAATTTCAAAATTATTTTTAAAGTTTGTTTTTTTTGTGTAAATTCGAGGAAACATAAATTTTTAACATTGACCCGCCTTCTGTTATAGTGGCCTAAAGAAACTTTTAGAACGTTTTTAACCCAAAAACTAATTCCTTCGACAGGGAATTAAGCCAACCCCACCCCAACCACCACGCAATGAAAACTGTTTCAGTCGGCAGCAATTATAATGTGCCAGCAACAAAAACTATACGGAAAGCGTTCGGATATTTTCAATTGGAATAATATATGTAGGCCTATGCATCTTTATTCAGATTTTAATATAGAACAATCGATCCCAATACGCGATAGGCCTAATTGATGGATCTGTTATTATGTTGACTATTACTAAATTAGGAATTTAATAGAATGAGGGAGTTGATAGAACGCATTGAATAATGTATTTCGTAATCAGATTTGATAAGTACTGTACTGTACAGAGAAGTAGGCCTGATTCTGGGAAATCACCAGACGACGGTAGCGGGCCGCGAAGTTTCGTTCAGAAAAAAACGCCAAGCTCACCATGGTGGCGCTATTCATGATCCTTCTTATATCCAGTACTGTAATGATATTACATTTGACATTATATTTAACGGTTAACAGTTACAGTAGCCAGTGGGGATCCAGGAATTTGAAAAAGAGAGGGGGAGGGAATTTCACGGATGGAGAGTCAACATCACCTTAGCCCCACCATGGTTGGGGCTGATAAGAAAATTTATGATTATGGCACCTGTAGAGGGCTGGAAATGGCACTCTCATAGGCCTACCTAAATTTGATGAATATTTTCTTTTCTCAATATTTTTTTTATAATTTTGAAAAACATTAGGTGGACCCTAACCGACTCGTACCCACCCCCGCCCCATTGAATCCACCACTGTGCTCATAATAGCAATACAGAATCATGGAGGTGAGTATATAAATAAAATCACGGCACAACACTCATCCTTTGGAACTTCATAAGAGGTCATTCCGATTGCTAAATCGTACGCATGTTGTAGCGCTATGCATAGTAGCCTATAAAGTCTCGTTCACATTATATTAACGACGCGGTTTTTGACATAAATTAATGATAAAACGTTACCACAGACAATTTTCAGTGAGAAACACTTTAAATTAGTGGCATAAAAGTTGACCGAGTCTACGTGTCCCCACCCCACCGTTTTTCCACTAAATTAGTATTCACGAATAGACTTTAAAATTTCAAGGCATATATTGAAATTAGCGACCTCACTTATCTATTCCGAACATGTTGGGCCCACCCCCAACTCGTTGAAAAATCCGTACCTCAACTAAAACTGAACTGTTTCGATCTGTGTAGGTCTATTGGAAGTAGTTTTTATATGGTTTTTGATGAGCAATTATTTGTCCGAGTTTTCCTCCTATACAAAGGCAGCAATCGCATTAAATGACTGCTCCCTGCTATACAATATAAAATCAAATTAAATATTATGTAGGCCTAATATAATACTGTATTTTTACTCTTAAAACTCCCGGCGATTGACTCATAAAAATCCTTGAAAAATCCTTATATACTATAATAAACTAAATTGTTTATTAGCAAGTTATTTATTAGAATTACAATTAGTTGATCTTTGCGATAATTGAGACAACAAATGACGCAACACAATGAACCGTTTCAAGTTTACATATCACATGATTATTAAGTTCAAAATTGCAAACTAGGACCTAGGTGAATGTTTAGTAGGTCAGTGGGTGTTTACACAGTTACGAACGTCATCCAATCAACATCCGCCGCCACTGGTGACGTTCGCGACAGAAATCACACTCGATATTTATACACAACTACTAAATATTCACCGGGGATAAACACAGGGGAATATAATGTTCAAAATAAAAGTACATTTCAGTTGATGCTTTTAACAGTTGTACGCCGATTGTGTTAACAGGCGACCACTCGTCTTTGATACCTAACGCATGGCACTGATTGTTGTATTATTATTCGTAAACTCTTTGTCGCCTGCTAACATTAACAATACACTGCTGAGAATGTGTGTGTGGAAACCTGCTACAAAATTTATATATAATTAACCTTATGTAAACATATAATATACGGCACACATATATTTTATTATAATACTGCACAGCAATCAGTCAAGGCTTATATATTTTTTTATATAATAGATATCTTTTTTCAAGATCATAATAATCGATATATAACAATACACACGCGAAGTTAAGATAGGAGACATACTGTGAAAAAAAGTGATATGTTAAACATTGCGTAACTTTGGCACGGCATTCTTATCATAAATATACACAATATACAATACAACGATTAACTTACTTTCGTATATGCCACATGTAAAAGGATATAACATGCCTTATTTGTTTAGTAACTACCATATTATTTGGTTTGTGCTATCCTGAATGGGTGATGAAAATGTAACAATGTTTTGTTTACACAAAACATTTGGAAAAAATATGATATAGTGATCTCGGAAATTAAAAATAATTTTGGTATAAAAATAATTGAATTATTTAGTAAAATATGAACTTTGTGCTGGAACCAAATGCTGAATAAAGTCTGCTTATCTAAAGGTATTGCGCAAATAAACCTCTCCAAACTTAAAACCTGTTAATCTCGAAACGTAAATTTAAGGAAATAAAATAGATGTTGAAAAGAAGTATAATGTATTCAAACAAGCACATTATAGTAGTCTGAAACCTTATAATTTCTTAGTTTAACGAGAAATCATAATTGTAATAACAATTATAATGATAATAATAAAATAATTATACAGGACATTAATAGCAATAATACTGTTATAATAATAAATAAATAAATAAATAATAATAACCCCATGTTCTATATCTGTCTGTAAAACAGAATATGGGACTTTCCTCATTAAAATAATGGAAATAAATGTTTGAAATTGTGAAGTAAAACATAAAAGAAATTATTTGATGCTAGACTGGAACCAGGGCCGCAATGGTACTGGTAAAGGCGAAGTGGTTCTAATCGTTGTAGAGTAGAACCTCTGACCTGTGAAAACTAGTGGATTTTCAGTCTATCTACCTTGCATAAACTTTATAGGCTGAGGTCATGGTAATTTTATGTTGAACCAAACTTAACTAGTTTGAAACGCTTGGTACAGTATACGTAAACACAAATTGCGTTACAATTGCGTTTAACATGACAGTTTAGTCACCAGTTTATTAATATCAAAAATATGTAGAATAAAATCTTTGTTATACCATTCTTTGCTTGCACCAATTTTGAAGACGATCCAAACACAAAAAAATGACCAAATTAGAGGGTAGAAAAACCTTGTGCAAAATCATAGGGAAACAAGTACAACAGAAACAATTGTTTTCACAGGAAAACTAATAAAGTTGTAAACAAGAGAACTAAAGCATTTTTAAGCACACATATTATAATTAAATAATGTGTTAATGTGAATTAATAAAGCATATATATTTGGTTTCTACATAAGACTCTTTGGTGTGACTGGCATCAGTGGATGGAAGTAAGCTGTTATACTGTAGAGGAGGGAATTAAACATATGAAATTGTGTTCAATCTGCTATAAGTAATTATTTTCTATATTCTTTAAAGAAACACTCATAACATAAAATAAAGCACCTATTGAAGTTTTGGTGTTAAGCAGTATGTTACAAAAATATCAACAATATATATAAAAAAAAAATAAAATCATTCAATAAAATATATAATGCTGTGTAATGGGAAGGATGCATAGTATCAATACCATTAAATATAAAAATAAATATTAAAAGGGAAGACAATAAATAACCCTAGCATCAATTTCATTGGAATACCAAAATCCATGGCAATGAAAATACTGTACTAATAATAATGCAGTAATAATAATAAACATTAAAGATAATTGTATTTAATAAAGTCATTATTAATTATTATTAAAAAGGGCGGGGCCATCGCGCTGCGTGTTGTGTACTAGCGTTAAATTAATGTTAACGTCGTCCGGCGTAAACTACCTAATGACGATTCGAACCGTGGTAGACTGTCCTACAAGACTGAGGTAAAGAAAATTAAAAAACATGTTTGGAGGGCATGAATTCAAGATGGAATTTGTATGGGAACAACAAAGGAAGACAATACTCACAAATTCCCTTATTTCAGTTTGTATGAAATAATAATATAATAACACAAATTGAAGTTTAACAACAATAATACTAATAATAGCATTGTTATCAAATAAACAAAATTCACTCCAAAAAACGAAAACAATATTGTTATTTTTAGCAACAGACTGAAGATAAACTCTATTTGGTGTCGCACAAGAGTGCAACACCTCTCAAGATCCAGTGATCCGGATGCTGGACGGTCTTCAGATACAGTGGAAAGATGTAAGTCAGATCGGTTCTCTGCGGTTTCTTGTACACAGGGCATTCGTACAACCTTGGGTCCTTTCCCCCAACCTGATTGATGGCGTAGACATGAGCCACGGGTAGGGGCGTGAACAACACTTTCGGCTGAGGCTCAACAAGCTTGCAGTTTCTTCGGTCCCATCCAGCACCATCGAGGAATAAGCCATGAACATAAACACCTACAAAGAAAATGATCATATAAATGTTGCTGTTTCAATTCTATTAAATTTCATGAAACCACATGAGAGAAAATTATTCTATAACACACAAAGTATTGAATAACCATGCACCTCAACTAACATCTTTGTCAATGCCAAGGATCAGCTTTGTCTATTTAAACCTCATAAATGGTGACTTACAACATACTCCCCATCAATTGACGTGTTACTCTCAACATCTTCAAAACAATGATGAAATTCCATCATTTTTTTTTCTCTTGCTTTTCCGGAGTAAATACTTTACAACTGTTGCGTGTATGCCGACCCTTGGTCTTATTGTGAGATAATCATCTGTACCCTCCCCTGTATGAATTGTTTTGTCTCATTTTATTTTATTTTCCTCCTTATTTAACTGTATTTGATCAGTTAATTTGATAACCTCTTATATTAATGGTTCTGCCGAAAGCCATAAATGTGCCACTAAGAATAATTCTATTTTTTCGATTGAGTGATTAACAGGCCAAGAAATATAAAATTTAAAATTATGTGAAAAGAAAGGAGTCAAGACAAATGTTGTTTGCAGTGAAATAACCTTCCTCTTAACATCTTGAAATCACCCTCTTAAACATAAACACAATTTTTAACTGTTATTAAATGTTCTAATTTCTCATACCTTCATTGGGAGGTGAAGAAATATCTTCTTTTGAAAATCGTGTCATATCATTATGAAGCACAACGCTGTCCAGGGCCCAGCCTTTATGAGCTCTTGTAATCTCCTGCCTCATTGCCGTCAGAAATCCTTGAGGATTGAAAAATCCGGTCATCCAGAACACATTCGGACGTCCCTCAAATATCCAGCTGGAGAACTGCAGATTCCTCTCTATTAATTCCGTGAACCAGAAACCCAGCGTAGTGGAATCCCAAGAGATTTTCCTCCACAGAGCCGGCACTCGGGCATCGTACATGTTATCAAGAGCGTCACGCAGATTCTCACTCATAATAATTGTACCGTCAATAGCCAGTTTCAGGTCGCTAAGTGTAATACGTACTGCCGATATGACCCGCTGCATTCGATCAATTTCTTGTCGCAGGAAAATGTTCAATGGTTGGAGGTGTCCCATTTTTTGTAGACGACCTCTCACCTATAGAGTACAAAATATGGTAATAAGGTTAACAAAGGAGAAAATTAATAACTTCTAATTTCAGAGCATACTTTTATTTTTTAAGTAATATGTTATATATTAAATATGTATTTTTAATAGTAATATTTTTTCTAATACATTTATTATATTTGGTATACATTATTCTTCTGTAATTTACAAAAGAGTAGGAACCAAATTCAGAATTGCATATCTTTTGGGCATTCCATTCATTATGTTTCCGCACATTCTTTGGTACCTTTATTTTATTTTTTTGCTGTATATGAAATAGTTAATAAAAAATAATAAAAAAATTAACTTTGAAATTTTTATTTAAAAAAAAAACTTTGCAGACAGAATAATCATTGTGGAAGGGTTACATTTAGGATTTCAAAAGAGGAAAAGAGAGGGTAGGTTAACATTTTAAAAACATATTACATTATAATTGGCAAAACAGATATAGAATAAATTGAATCACCGACCTCAAACATTTTATAGTCCTCGGGAAGCTTCTCCAACATCTCATTGGCTAGCCTATAGACTGCTGCCTCACGGGTTTCCCCACCACCTCCAGCACTGTCTTTAGGTTGGATGTTCACAATGGTGTCAAGAACCTTAATAAAAAAGAAAATAATTCAACACTATTATTGGTAAAGTACATTAATTTATAATTTAAATTTCACTCTCATGTTACATTATTTAATTTTGGTCTCAACAGAATAAGGATGCACTTAAGGTGGTTAGCATTGGCATACATGAACTCTGATATGAACAGTTCTAATAATTTTGAGGGGTGTTCTAGACAAAGGACAAATGAAACTAGCTGGTTTATTCAGGTTAAGTACAATTCACCTTCTAATTAGATACTTCTCTAATTCCAAAGTACCAACTAACAACCTTCTATTTTTCAACACAAATTTAACCCTGTAATTGGATGCTCAACCGTGAGACCACCTCAAATTTTCTGGTTTCCAAGGTGGCCTTGATTTAGAGGGTGAACTATATACACAAAATACTCTACATTACATCAGTTGAAGTACAGTAAGGTACAATTTCAATTATTTTATAGTTCCCTCTCATGTAAAACAAACTCTGCAAATGACACTAGCATGGTTTACAAATCAAAAATCTGTTCAAACACCCCCTTGTGTAGAGTGTACTTACTTCAGTGGCCATATTGGTCTGATATGTGATGTCAGCATTGGGATGAAGACCGAAGGCTTCTGGAGTATCAACCAATGGGATGTTTTCAATTGCACCCCGGTATTCATCTACATTGCGACACTTTGGAATTGTGTAACCTGAAATAAGATTGAGATATTTATAACTAACATACTGGAGTAAAGTGTAGCTTAGTGGTTAAGATGCTTGCCTTCTAAAAAGCATTCTGGATTCAACTTCTATGACACATCAAAATTTATTCTTTAATACTAGAACTTTTGTTTTTCATTTATCACTATGATTTTGTTTTTAAAGCAGTATTGTCATTGTAAAGGGGGTTAAACTCAACTAGTAGTGTATAATAAACTACCTATTGCCCATTTCATATTTTCAATCTTATTTTTGTTGGGCAATAAAAGTTGAATAATAAGCTTTAAAAGAAATATCCAAATATTGAAGTTTTTCAGAAACTTTACCTTTGTAAAATTTGAACTTGTCACTAAACATATCCTCTGAAAACCAGACACGAGCATAGGTGTTCAGGAGACGTTTGTCAAAGTCGTCAGTTACACGGCCACCGTACTGGACTTCACCGAGCATGTAGCGAACTGTATTCCATGATACACCCTGTGAACAAAGTGAACCATTATTAAAAATGTGGAGAAGTGTAGAACTACTGATAATATAATGATATTAAATATAATCATACTAATAATTCTTGATCTATATATAACACCACACGCAGAACCTACCATGAGGCACTTAACAAAGTAAAGTGAACTTAAACTTACAAATGGCTAAAATGGCACATTATGGGGTATTTTTAAAAATCAATAAGCCTACCTTTTTAGGGTCCATATCGTCTAAGTGGTTGTTGACGAACTGAACACTAGCAGTGAAGTCAGCCTGATTGAACTCATAAGGAATGTTCCAGCCCAGTGGTCCAAACTTGCGTCTCTCCTGCACAATGGTATGCAAAAAGGCAACAGCGTACAAAATAGGACGCCACTGAGGCATGCTAGAAATATCCAGCTGCTCCTGCGTGATGCCGGCGTATGTCCGTTTGATGCCGGCCTTGATGCCTTGTGGAGGTTCGTTGGTGAACTTGATGGAGCATTGTAAGAGGTTGATGGGGAATTTGGGATGTACTTCTGTCGTTAGCCAGATTCTGAATCCATCGTGGACAGATTCTGTATTCAAGACCTGTCAAATGTTATAAAAAAAATAACATTACACAAAGGCTTAGCCAGCGAGCCGTCTAGCTGTCTTTTGGACGGCCTACAATTAATTAGGACGGCCACTTTTACCGTGACAGCTTGGACGGCTTGGCCTAATCAGTTCGGACTAGCCTAATTAGGCCTGGTCTACCTTTAGCAAATTCTTTATAATCTTAATATCTATCGAATGTTACATGATTCTAAAGCTAAATCATATTTATATGATAAAAACAACATTTATTGATTGAATGTACGTTGTTTTCGTACCAACATTCAGTGGGGATTCCCAAAGATGGGCGTGGCCCGCCCATCGGTTCAGTGCCACGCCCACTGGCTTTCATTTTGGACGGCCTATTTCGTTTTTCTGGCTAAGCCCCTGACATAAAACAAAATCATTATTTATGTTAGAAGATTGGGTTTTTTTTTATATTTTGTCATGAGAAGGGATCCTGGTTATTGCAAGATTTGAACCCAAGACACTGAGATTGGAAGGTGAGCCTTACCTACTAATCCACTGCTCCACGGATTATTTATAGATCAAGTTAATTTTTATGAGTCCACGGAAGTGGAGGAATTGAGATTTGATCGGAAGCCTTTCTTCCTGCAGTGAAGTGATAACCACAATTAAGTTTATACAGCAAGAAAATAATATGAATGAATACCAACTTACAGTATCGAGTAGCTCGTCCATGAAGTCTAAGCCAAGATGGCAGTTCTGGAGTAGCGCCCAGCCTCCGTCTTGCATGAATCCAGAGATCAGACGCCTTGCATGAACTTCCTGCCCTTGACCCATACTGATGGCCGAACATTCTGAAATGAAACAAAAAAATTAGACACTTTACAGAATAAATATTGTAGATTACTATTGTAGACTCTGTACTCTTCCATATACAATGGAATTGTACAAAAACAATAGTTATTGTAGTACCCTTATCACATGTACAAAAAAAAAAAAAAAAAAAAAAAAAAATAGTGTACAAATTGTATGTTTCCTTTCTCTCCTGGTCTTACCATGTCCAGAGAAATGTGTACAGATTTGAATTCTATTTTTATTTGTTTATTTCCTCCTAAGAGGATGGGCCGATCCTGGAGGTACTGCAATACCAGGCCAACCCGTGGCCAGGACGGAGCAAGCTCCTATTCCATGGCCTAATTTCAAAAATCAGTTTAATATAGAAGCTACTCAATGAGCAGCGTTTCAGATATTAAGCTGAAAAGAACAGATACTACACATGATCTTAGCCAAAAGGCCGAGAAGCGATACCATCAACTGGTAGCCAGTAGTATATATATGAAAAATCATACTACTATTGTGTTGGTGTTACATAGAGCAAATTTCATAATATACATTCATTTTTTAAAGATACTCAAATAATAATTTAATGGGTTTTTTTTTCTATTACCTTATTACATCAAAGCTAAACAAGACTTCATATTGTTCATTAATAATTAATAAAAAAGGTTCATAATGTTCGGAAGTTATTAATGAATATTCATTAGCGTTATGCATGAATGCTTCTTCATTGTTTACCTTCCTGCTGCTTTGAAACTAATCCCTCTATGGTTGTATTAATTGTACTATTGTAATACCCTGTAATCTGAATTGGGCCACCTGATATCTTAGAATGGACCTTCCACTAAGCCCCAGAGAATGTAGGATGGTCATGCTTTCTTTCCTCTATGGTTTAGGTTATAGTAAATATTAACTTCCAAGTCTATTGTCTGATAATACACTTGTATATTATTACCTCAACACACTATGAGATTTCATTAATTTTACCAATAAAAACACTGTAGTTTAATTTCAGTATTACAAAGGAGTTTTTCAAAGAAATATGTAAGCTGTAGCTACTATGTGTGATAGTGTATGATTGCTTCAGACAAATAATGTACCTTTCCAATTTTTGTAGGTTGATAAAAAAAAAATCAGATAAACTCTGATCAAGCATTTATGTTTAGTCTGACAGACAAAGGTATGATACTATAAGATATTGACTACTTACTGACTCCCATCTTCTTGGCAAGTTTCTCAATATTTTCTGTAGGATCAGATCCCATCGATAGGAAGCATATCAAGGGTACTCGCTTCGTACTCTCATTTCGCATCTCCTCCATGTTTAGGATAACACCTTCGGCAAACTATATTACATGAAATAGATAATAATTTTTAGATATGAAATGCACTGCTGATACAATTCTTTGTTCATATGCTTAACCATAATCAGAAAGGAAATCAGTCTTCAGCCACTCCAGCCCACACCACCCCTGTCTAAAACCACCCAGAAGATATCAGAAGACATTGATCTGAAATAAAATGGCGATTCCCTTTGGAACGCATACAAGTGATTGCATTGGCCACTGCCATGTTCATCATATACCTATTGGCAGGCAGTTCCATAATTTTGAGGGGAATATGGACACTTTGGCATTATTCTAAAACCCAGCACTTACAAATATTGTTTAAATATTTTGTTTAAATACTTAAATTTGTTTTTCTACCTCACCTTAACGCCAATGGAATCAGCGATATAATGTCTGGCCTGAGGAATGGTGCGATCCGGACACCACGATCTCACCAGCAACAGCTTACGGAAGACATCAAGGGATGCAGAGTATCCGTCGGGAATTACAGCCTCTTCTGGTGCATCTTCATCAAACCACTGCTTCCAACCTTTGTCGTTGCGACCTATCTGGCCAAGGATCTGTGAGAACTGCGGTAGTTTACAAAGTTGGACCAGATTCAGCCACGTCATGTCTGATATCCACTTCTTCGGTTTAGGATCTACAGCATTCAAATCCAGAGCAGCGCCACCTATATAAAATATAACACAAAAAAAACAGAGGTATATTTAGAGATAAACTTTATCGGTTTATCCAGGTAAGTATTCACGAAATAGACTCTTTAAGAGCAAGCAAGTCACAATACAAATCATTAAAAATAACAAGAAAAATATTGTTAAAATGGCAACCATTAGAATAACAAAAATCTTAAGGTGTGTAAATCTAAGGGGTGGGTAAGGTTTTAATTTATCAAGTAAAGATTTGCAAAATTAAAGGCCTAATCTGAACTAATCTATGTTAACATTGACATGGCACAACAATTAATACTGTACAATGAACAAAATAAGATTTACTTAAAAGATTTTATTCAAAATATAAAATACTTAAATCTCTTTAAATTTTTTACATTTCTGAGCTTTAACCAAGGCTTACAGATAAAAAAAATCTTGATTTCACTGAAGACAAATATCTTTAAGTTAGAGGGAGTTAACAAACCTTTGATGAGAGTTTGGAATTCCTCGTGCTTGATCTTCTTTCCTTGGAGGTCAATCTTGAGGGCAAGCAGCAGTGTAAATAGGAACTTATGGTTCTCATATAAACCTCTGGCAGTGTACTGAAAGGCTTCATATGTCAGATACTCAATGATGTTATGAATACGTTTGCTGGTTATGGGGCTTTTATTTGACCTGTGGATACAAAGCAATATATGGTTATTTGAAAATACCAACTGTTCGTACTTTAAGCTATTTGATTATTTAAAATATTATTATTGTTAATATTTGTAAATTAATACGATGGTGTAGTACAAGGTTTACCTAGCCATGGATAAGTCAAATATTCCAAGGAACTGTTTGAGCGATGTCTGGTACATCACGTTCACCATACTCATCTCAACAATCAAGAAATACAGGATACTTCCCCTGGTAGCAACTGTCAAGAAAACAAAAAATACAATAAATGAGTTTTGGCACCCAAAAAATTACAATTTTGACTAAATCAAATGTCCAAGTGTAACTTAAAATTATACATTTAAAACACTTATATGCTCAGACATTTGCAATTACCATTTTGCAAGAAAATTAGTTTTTTAATGTTCAATTATTAATTAAAAAATACACTAGTGATGGTGGCAGGATNNNNTGATTGAGAGCATACTGTCTCTTATACACATCTATATGTGTATAAGAGACAGGTCGGGGCTAGTGGAAAAATCTTACATGCAGCCCAGAGGGCCAAGCCTCCTGGTGTCTATAAAAATTAGGCTATTTTGAGCCACTAAATGTAATAGAAGCATTTCAGTTACCACTCCAGTAGGCCTATTTTTATAACTCTTTTCTTACCAGGTCTAAACTCTTCTCTCGCTGTGTTGATGCGAATCTCTGTCTCTGCAGCAATCGTTAGTTTCTCACTGACGTCTTCTGCTGTTGATTTAGTGACTTTAAGAACCTCAATCAGAGACTCATCTTCAACCAGCGAGCCCTTGGTACTTGTCAGTCTGTACAGCAGGTTATCTTCAAGTTCTTGCATTTTTCTCTTGTTGGCGGTAACCTATCATAATACAATTACAAACACAGAAAGTATTGAGGAGACATGTATTAACATCAAGATATACTTCCAATTTGAGCAACCAATGGACTTACTGTATATGATCACAAATAATTTTTGGATATTATTCCCATTACCATCCAAAAAAATATTATTTTTGCACTGCTTTGGAATAAGTGAAGCAGCACTTATTATATTCCATTTTTAGTAAATATTGCTATGTTTAATTAAGAGTACGTACATATTACTTAACTTGCCTTGATATTTCATATCACTGGAACACTATTGAATAAATGATAGAATCAGTAAGATTAATTCGGCAAAAAATAATTTGACCAACCTCTTCCATGAGCTTGACCCTTTCTGCCTCAAGTTCATTCTTCTCGGTCAAGATGACAATGCCAAGCAATTGGTCTTCCAACCCCTTAATGGTTACAGTGAAATCGATAATGGAGGTTCTGGCACTGACCTCAGGAGTGTAAGCTGGATTTGCTAGCTTGGTTGTTATGTACAAGCAGAAGCCTTTCATAACATCAACCTCCTTGTCGCCAACTTTTACCTATAAATTAAAATGTGTATATTATTAATAGAATGGTAAACATAAGACTAAACAAAAAATGAATAGCATAAACTACAGGTATATAGAACTTTCACACAAAAATTCCTATGATGCAACCATTTCTATATGCCACTCTTGTCTCTCCAGCACCCATTGCCTTTGCACTAACCCCAGCCCTAACCACCACCCCCTTCTTAAACCCTTCTCCCTCGCATCTGTCTCTTCCACACACATCTCCTATATACACTCACATGAAAACACACACACACATCACCATCGTAATAATATAAATACTGTGCATACCTTAAATGTACTTCCAGACTTGATGAAGTTTTTCTCAAGTACATTATCCAGAGCAGGATCTAACTCTTCTGCAACATCTTCAATCATCAGAGGGCGCCCTAATGACAAACTGTCTTCAAGATGAGTACGGAAATATTTGTGGTTCAAAGCTGTGACCTGCAGCTGGTTCTCTTTCTCACGATTACGAATCCAGTTTTTGCCCTGACCCTGTGGATCTATCAATAGAGGGAATCGTGTTGCCTTGGTTACAATGATGCCGTTTTGAATGGAGAGCTCGTCGTTTGGTAACCCTTGTAAGTTCCATTCTCCAATAGTTGCAGCATCAGTTAGCATTCCACTGATATTCAAGTCCTGTAATAAAATAAAAAATATACAGTAATCATTCAACATTTTGTTTTTATAAATATTAATTCTCATACAATTTACCATTAATTTGGTCTAAAATTTCTTTCAATAATAATGGTAATGACATTTAAAGATGATTATGATGATCTGAAACCAGTAACAAAATTATTAACAATAAAATTAGCATATATTATTAAAAAACATAATAATGATAATGGGAGTGATAACAATAAATACATGATGATAATATTTATTTTATAAATCAAACGTACATATTACACTAATTTAGATGACACATTTTCTGATTGAGAGCATAAGTAATAATATGGTTTTAAAGGAGTACCTTGAGACCTTAACTGAATACAGGGGGAATGAATTAGAAAACAATAACAAATAGAAATGAAGAAAAAAACCTCAGTAATTATAAAAAATTTAAACTAATTTTGACTTGACGGTTGACTTACATCGCTGTATGGAATTTTATTTATGTTCATCTCTTTTTTCCAATTTTTCAGAAGCAATTCACGGAACTCCTGGTTGAACGGTCCGGAGTATGACAAGAACCCAGTTGCCAAAAGGACATCTCCTACCAGTCTGAAATGAAAATCATTCAAATATCAACACGACCTTCAAAGTTGGATTGGATCAATATATTATTATTCCATATTGTTCAAATCTTATGGTACAGATGAAACGCTTCAAGTCTTAATGCTATAAACCTATCATTTTAGTGGGGGGGGGGGGGTGTCAAGATTTGGGAAATGCCAATTTAGGGACATCTGATTTAACGGGTGGTGATATCCATAGCAAGTAAGTTTAGGAAGACAGTTAATATTAGTAATACAACTATGAAATCATTTTTGAATTTGCATGTACATTAGTTTGTAGGAGAATTTTGCTTGTTCAGAAATGGGCAGACCCTTTCCAGTGGAAAATGGCGTCAGGAGCAGCTCTCTGAGACATACGTGTAGCTTATATGATGGCATCATTATTCTTATTATTATGCTGTAATATATTTTGTCTTGTTATTGTCATCACTGCTATGATTCAACTAATCAACACAGGTAGGAAATAAATAGCATATGAAAGGTATTTTACCTGTTGATTTGTTCCTCAAATTGTTTGCTAGCCTCTGTCCATCGCACCTTCTCACCTCCAAGGCCTTCAATGAGAGCTGTAGCATTGTCCATCTTCCTACGACAGCTCTCCGCATCATCCAGCAGAGCCTAAATAAAAACATTCCAATAATAAAATAGCAGTAACAACAACTATAACAATAACCTAAATATTAACTATAATAATAACAAAATATAATACTGCCATTCTGATATTTTATGACTGTAAGTTATGATTTTCTAATCATTACTTTATTGTTTTTCATGTGTTCTAATTGCTTATCTGTTAATGATATACTAATGAATAATTGATAACCAATTAATCTGGTTTAGGGATCAGCAAACAATGACCACATGCATGGTATCCGCACTCTTGGCTTGAGGGTCTAAACATAATTATTTCCATTATATTGCACTTACAGAACAAAGACAGGGAGCTTAAATGAATAATGAATGTGTACCTGTTTTTCTGAAATGGCACTGTCGTACTGTGCCTGCACAAGATCCAATTCCTTCTGTTTCTCATCCAGTTGACTCTGAGCTTCTTGCAAGGTAACCATGGCTGTTCCAAGACGTGCTTCTTGAAGGACAAGATTTGCCTGGAAATTGAACGAATACCAAATTTTAAAACACAGTACTCACTTCGGTGAACATAATCATATTTGCCTGTTATAAGTTTTAACGAAAAATTTATTTAAATGAATAAGAAAAACCCAATTTTGAAGTTTACCAACAAATGTAGGGTTTTGCCAGAGCTTGTCACAAAGGATTTTAAATGAACTTCTAAAAAATACTACAGAAATCACTCCATAGAGTGTATACCTCCCAATACATGAATACCGAACAATACACATGCCGTTTACGATCGGTGAAACTGCAGTATACCCTCAAGAACATAATAGAATCGCCCTTTCATATCTCAGACAGATAGCAGTTAATACATAACCTCCTAGGCAGAGGTAATAATTCACTTACTTTTAGTGGCAGTACTTGTTTATTGATACCATAGAAGAAAGCCATAGCCTTAGTCCAGGAACACAAACCAGCAACATCTCCACAAGACTTCTTGGCACTCTCCATGTTGTAGTCGTCTGAATCCATATAGGCTGCTAACAATTCAACTGTTTCTTCATTTATAGTATCCTGTATAAATGTAAAATGTGTAAATATATGAATATGATCATTTGTTGAATATTAACTAAGAAATTCTAAGTTAAGGACCAACGACATCAATGGCCAGAACAACATTGACAGGTTTTGAAGTTCCTTCAGACTGTTTTGCATGCTTTACATCCAGATTGTACGTAGTCGGTGCAGTAGTTGTTCCTCAACCTCATTAGTCGGGGGTTTGAGCCCTTGTTGTGCGAGTTGCTTGCGTCCTTAGGCAAGACATTTGTCCCTCGCTACCAAGATGTATCAATGGGTACCAGCATGTGCTGGGAAGGTAAACAGACTGGCTGTGAGGATTAGTAGCGATCCCCTTACTTACAGCATTTCATGTCAGTCCAGCCCAAACATTGAAAAAAAAGGGATGTGCAGGCACTTCAGCCTCAATAGGTTCAACTACCTGTAATTTAATCAGATCTACATGCAGATTCAACATCATGAAACAAATTACATGAAAGAAATGCATTAATATTTCACCTTTGGAAAGGTCAGGAGTCCTTGCAAGAAGTTGCTGCCTCCCAACAGTTTCAATGCCTCTGCCCAAGATGGCTTCATTGATGGTTTCTCTGGATCCAAGGAAGGAGGATCCATCTTACGCTGGAACAATATCAGCACACAGTCCATAATTCTCATGATGAGATGCGGTGGCTTGGCTAACTTACGCACTGTTGATATGTGGCTAGGCTTGATGGTGTTCAGGGCTGCTTCAGCCTCCTCTAAAGCTGGCTTGGCTGCCTCAAGTTTTTCTGTAGCAACTGCTTTGTCGGCCTAGAAATATTAAGAAAATTATATAAGACATTTTTAAGCTAAGGATCATCTTATTGTGATGGACTAACTTAAACCAATCACCCTGCATCATTTTTTCACTACTGTATCAACATTTATTAGTTTTGCAAGGTTGTTATTTGATCACAGATATAAAAAAAATACATAAATATTAAATATCATGTATCTTGTGACTTTCTTAAAAGAACCTGTATGGAACTTCCGACGGAGAATTTCATGACCCTCAAAGCAGTCCAAAACATTCAACAGAATAAATCAGAAGAAAGATATTTGAAGTACACTAACCTCAATTTCATCCACAATAACCTGAGCCTTGTCTTTCACTTTCTGTACTTGTGCCTTCACCTTCTCAGCAGCCTGAGCACTAACGGTCACCTCGGCCAATACAGCATCAGCCTTCTTGGATGCAACAGCAAGCTCTTTCTCCTTGACTGCCAGCTCTTTGCTAAGTTCGTTCACAGAGTGCGTTGCTTCAACCAATTTAGCAAGACCTGGTCACAGGCAATAGAAAATAATTTGTCAACAAAATATGGTCGGGCTGAAGTAGTCTGGGCCCTCCATCTGTAAAATTTCTTACCCAGCCCCCTGTTGTTATTCAAATTCCTGGATCTGCCATTAAATTTATTAAAAATTTAGTTAAAAGAATCTGGTACAGTATTTAATGTTAGTAGCCTACCATAGTCATTGATTACAGTAAGGTACAGTAACAATCTGCTACCTCGTTTTATCTAGACGTACTTCCTGTTTATGCACATTTAGCATTTTTGTACATAAAAGTCAATTTTGTGCATTTATATTTTTGTCATATTTTCCTTTTCATACTCTATACAATGAACTAATTTACCAGCAAAAATAAAGAGACTGGGTAGGATATCATATACTTTTTTTAATGTTCATTTAAAGAAATAAATGGATGAATCGGTAGAATTCTACAAAACATATACATAGTAAGTACCAGTTTGCATCCTGTCTGCAAGTATGCCTATAGCTTCGCGTTTTTCAGCGTACACTTGAGTGAAACTATCAATGAAGGATAGGTATGATTTTGGAGTGACGTGCGTCTGTCGACGGAAACGCTGGAAGTAATCTATGCATGATTCGGCCACCAAGTCCTAAAATAGAATAGTAGGATTAGTTATAAATAACCAAACATATATTTGTAGACATTTTAAAAAAGATTATTCTAAAATAAATATATAAAACAAGAGTTAATATGTCTTCTTAATCAATAAATTAGCATTTGCTAAACGAATAACCTTTTTGATTTACAGAGAAAAGAAAGTGAGGACGTGTGTGTAATGAATGAGGACGTGTGTGTATTGAATGAGGACACTGTTATGATGAGCGATTTCAATATTTTTAGAAGGTGAACTTAGTTTATTTTGGGTTAAAATTATTTGTTTATTTATCTATTTACAAATTAGATTAATAAAATAATTGTAATTTAACAATTATTATTATTAATTATTTAATGAAAAATACACAAACCAAAATGGATGTTGGTAGTAATACATCAGGAACCTGTAAAAATCTGTTAATATATTACGAATGCAATACAAACCTGGAAAACACCCATGGTATTAACAACACTCTTCTTGACAGTGTCTGTGCAAACAATTTCAAAATTTGACAGGAAATGCTGAGATACTGCAATGAGGGCGTCTTTCGGCCAACGGCTAAACCAATCCATCGTACAACCAGAAATAAGACCAGGAAACTTGAGGGATCGTCCACGGAATTTCTCCCCAACCTAACACAATAAAAAGTAAACAATAGTTACATACACCTGTAGTATATACTGTGTAATACCTGTATTATGTGTACTTTAAATATATTTATTTGTTTTAATAGTAATAGTAATATCAATTAATAGTAATTTAATAGTAATGGTGTAATTAATGAAATACAGGTAGAGGTGCAACAAACATAACAAATTAACTTACAGGTGAGAAACATAAAACAACATGAAGATTGGATCGAACTCTGGAAAGGAAATACTCATAGAGATTTTCATTGGTTGGCGGTCGTCTTGGAAACTCCTTCTTCATTACTGGAATCAATTCACCTGTAATCTCATCAATTTCATCACGTGCGAACAAATTTGACACCTGTCATAGAAGTAAAAAAGGGGAAACTATGAAAGAACAATGCATCTTTGATGAGGGAAATATTTTCTTGCTCTAATAATAAAATTAATAACATATTTCATTTGCTTTTTTTTCTTACCTCCCCTGATGCCAGTACATTATTCATGTACTCAAGGAATCCTTCATCTTTAATCTCATTGTCGGTAAAGATAAATGTGATGCCTTGTCCCTGTTGACCTGCTGTACGATACAGATGCTTTAAATCTTCCATCAAGTTGGATACATTGTAAGATCTATAAGAAAAAACAAAACAGAAAAATACATAAATAAACATGAATAATAGCAGTAATAAATATTATTAATAATAGCAACAATAATATTAATATGGTAACAGCAATAAAAATAAATTTTAAATATAACAGCAATAATAATTATATTACTTGAAGCATTAGCAACAAAACAAAAAATACTACTAATAAACCAATAAGGTGAAACATACCAGTCCACCATAACACGCAGTAAGTAAAGCAAAATAGCACTTAAGAGCTGACACATTATACCAGCAGTTCTGAAACATTTGGGAGTAGCAAATACTACCCTCTGATGCTGAAGGCTATCTTGAAAAGTCAGTCATGGGGAAGAATCTTCCATCCCCACATCAATGCTTTCAGTCAGCTTATCCTGTTAAGTATTCATGGAAAAGACTTATACATACCTTGTCAGTGTTATCTGGAAACTCTTATATCCAGCAATGAATGATGCTAGTCTTGTCAAGCTCTGCTTACCGGATCCACCAACACCTACCAACAGCGCATTACCACGTGGCGTACGGATGATTCTAGATATCTTAACCAAATGCACCATAGCATCCTAATGGTAAAACATGATAAAAATTTAAGTCCAAAGGCTTCACTAAGGCAGTTCTTTCTCATTATATAAGGCATGCAAAATAAATATGCCTAGAATATTCATAATTATCAATAAGTATTAATGATACTATTATCAATAACATTCAATTCAGATTATGTGATTTTGGTATAATAGACATCACAGTGCATAGGGAGCAGCTAGCTCAGTCGGTTAAAGTGGTGGTAGCCACTGTGTGTGCGCTGAACCGTGGAGATCTCTAGGCCCCCAGTTCAATTCCCATCACTGCTCTCCTTATGTTTCAACTAAAAGACTGAAATGCAAGTTCCAAAAGCGCACCATCTTTGGAATGAAACGTTTAAGCTGTTGGTTACGTGTGCAAAATGGTTAAAGAACAGAGTCCCTTCGGAAAAGAGTAGGGAATTGTACTGCCCAATTTGCCATCAGGACTTTCGTGGTTTATTCTTGGTGTGTATCTCACCAAAGAAATCCAATCCAATCCTGAGTTAGGTGGATGAGTGGTATGTTGTCTGTAAATCAAGGGTTCAAATCTCACTTAAATAACATGTAATTCTTTCTTCTAAACAAACTGAGATTTATACCAGGTTCAGGCAAAAAAACACTTGACTTTTCTTTTGAGGACCATATATATTTATTTAATTTAAATTTATGTTAATTGTTTTACCTTAAAGAATACCAGATCCATTTTGCCACCTCTGACGGTTTCATTATACTGAGCCATGAAACCAATTAGTCTTTCACTTAATTGTTGAAAATTTTCAATAGGCTCGTATATCTTGGGTGCATCTAAATCAGCATCATCTGGCTCGTCACCTGCAAAATATACAATATACAATCATTAAGCACTTCTCATTCAGTGGAGTTGAGTATTTAAAGGTTGTGGAGTTATTTGGTTGCGAGAAAAATAGTTGAATATTAATTGACCTGTTATTTCTGGAGCATCACGTAGGAAATCTACGAAGTACGGTTCAGCTGGAATTTGCTCTGCCAATGCCGTTCCAAGGTCTGCTTCAGCCACCTATATAAAACCAACATGAACACCAATTTATATAATATATTTTTACAGCCACTACTGTCTACACTATTAAAAAAAAAAAACACAACGATTGACTATTAAAAAAAAATCAGCCCAAGTTTACAAGTTTATCACTTTCCAATCCACATTGCCCACACCAATCACCCTTCCTTTACTACCAACTGCCACCTAAAATATACACCCACAAATATCAAACTTACAGCAAAAAAACAAACAAATATAAAATATGTTTGTAGACATACCTTTTTCAGTTGTGCATCAAACCAATTCTTATCTTCTTGGTTGGTGAATCGATCAGCTATTACCCTGTTGCATTCATGTCTCCACAATGCCAGTAGAACTGACTGGTTGCAAATCACTTCACTGATTGTGTTCAACATACCCTGTGCAAACAAATTGTACTCTAATAATATTATGTCTAAACCTTTATGAAGATTTCATTTATTCAATTATTCTATCATTCATTCAATCACTCACTCATGCATTCGTTCACCCTTCCATTCATTTACTCATTTCCTTAATCATTTATGTATGTATTCATCAATTCATTTAATATTGGTTATATATTCATTCATTTACTTTTTGGCTTAGAAAAATACTTAATTTGCCCTCTAAAAATATATGACACATGGTTTAGGTTTAAATGAGCCACTCTATTACACATTTAAATGCATACAGCAGTATAATTACTGATAAATACAATGCAATAAGTAATTATAGTGGTCTACGAAACCTACCTGCCATATTCTAGAAAGATCTCTTAAGTTGAAAATGTAATGAAATTTAGCTGGCGTTGGTAACATTTTCACTTTTGTGCTCTGCCACAAACGTCTGGTGCATGAGACTAGCATCTCAGCAAGATCAATGACTTCATCACAGAAACCTCTTTCCTGGAATTGAAAAGAAATGAATAGAACACACTCAAGGGCATTCAGAAATGTATGGAAAAACAAACAGTTGTAATAAAAATATAATCACAATGTCTATAGATATACAATCCTGCAAAATTTCAAAAGGGTACAACAATTGATTGAAAAGTTGCCAACATGTAAACTTTAACTCTATTTTTCTCCAAAAGTGAAAATTTCAAGTTACTTTTTTTGTCACGGAATACTTGGAGTACGTATTATACTTTCAATTCAAATACTTGCAGTTATTAGGTATTATAAAGTACTTACCTTACAATAATGCCCAGTCCCCACGGTGGAAAAAATCTTATCAATGGACTGGTTGGAGGGCAGCGTGGAGTTAAAGACATTGAACTGCCGCTTAAGACGTTGCGGGATATCGTTACGTCCACCACCTGGCTGGATCATGGCAGCAATATACTGAATGTCCACAATGTTCGTAAAATCACCAGGTTTTTCCAAGTTGTAAAACCCTTTGTTTTCCATCACTTGTCTCACAATTTCATTGGTGATCTGAGAGATATAATGTGAAAAGATATTAGGTGGATAAAATTCTTTCTTGATTGGTTGGTTTTAGATGTTGATATATATCTAACACAAATTAAGTAAATATTTGATTGACAGACTCACCTGATCTCCCCATTCATTGATGACTGGCATGTTGATATCGTCAATAAATACTGTCATCTTCTTCCCAGCGGGAGGTCCATATGTTGTACCAACACGTTTGTCTACATAGCTCTCAACAGTACGCTATGAAAGTAAAGATACAGTTATTCCTGAGGCAATTATTATTAATTCTTGCTTAAAATATTAACTTAGTATTGAATAATTTAAACAAAAATATATTTAATATATACTTTGAAAAAATCTAGTAGTAACAAAACATAACTATAACAACAATAGAGAAGGTTTAAGTCTAGAAAATAAATTAAATTTTAATAATGGAATTGGTAATTTTTGACAATTTTTTAATCTGCCACTGTCGGCATCTGACAATTTATGACCGAGGACAACACCAAAAAGTAAGACAATATACCTGGAACATGTTTGGTGTCGTGGCAGAAGAGAAGTTGACGCTCTTTGCCAAATGTTGCTCTGGGTCGTAGTTATTGCAGTATCCTTTGATCATGACAGTCTTCGCTGTACCCTGCTCACCAATCAGTAAAACGCCTTTCTCTTGTTTTGCGATAGTATTGATGAGGAAATCCGTACGAATGTTATCGACATTCGGAACCAAGATGGAAGAATACTCTGGAGTACTGTCCGAAGGATATATGTACTGTGGCACCTGAAGGGTCAAAGTTTAAACATGTCAATATGTCCAACCAAATGGTACATATGTAATCTTGGACACATTTGATGATCAATAGTTCATACATCCTGTATTTAGTGTGTCACTCAATTTTGTATGAAAACTTTTAAGTGGACATATGCATCTGTCTTACCCTGGATGACCAGTGTTCCCATTTGCCTTGGTCATTCACAACATACTCAAAGATCGTATCCTGACTGCTGTCATCAATTTTAGGCAAATCTAGAGTGCAGTCTGACTTCATATAACCCTCCAACTAATAAAACAAGCAAAAAGATAAACACTGTAATAATGCAAACAAGAATAAGAAAGCAATGGTAATATGTTAGAGAATAGCCAGTGTGTTGTATGTATAGCCACTATTTCGATGCCAAGTATGTGGATTCTTTAGTGAGTTCAAGTCAAAATTTAAATTACATCTTTTTTTATTAACTGGTATCTCGACTAATGTGTCAACAAACTTCCTTTTTTTTCATTTATCAGGCCTGTAAGGGGCTACTGTTTCAATCGGTGCCTCTGAGTTTCTAAGAATTTGACAACAACATTGAATGTGTACCTTTTTTCTATCATCCAGTTCCAGTAATGCTCCCACTGACCACATCACAGCAAAGATGAAGAGCCTCTCCAGATGCTCAGCTGTTGGTTGGTTTGGGCTGTCCTCCGGTGGAATCAGACCGTCCAGGAGGTCAATCGTCTGCCGAGTGTACATGCATTCCAGTAGATCCATTCGAGGATTTAGGTACTGCTTTGAGTATGTCAGTATGTTTTTGTAATTCTGCTCATACAACGTGAACAGAACACTTTGTTGAGCAACTGGTCGTGAATTTATCCAACCCTGTGAAAGAGCATGAAAACAGGTGATTAGAATCAGAGACTCATGTCTGGGCTAACAATCTAGGTAAGATAATTTGTTGTCCCTCTCAACACCAGTTAACAGAAGATCTAAAATGAATAATTATTTTTTCAACAATAAACAGCATAAATACTACTTTATATATTGTTAAATTGGCTCATATACTATTTTAGAATTTTTGTAGTAAAATTTATAAAAATAAACAAAAACTTAATTGTTTCAAAGCGTCTCACAAGATTATGACACTTATGTAGAAGCGATTTAATGTTTTATTAAATAATTGAAAAGTTTTTGAAGATTTCATCACAGATGATATATCGTTAAGGAGTATTCTATTCAAAACTGCAACAATAGATCTACCTGAACAATTGGATTCCAGTCCATAATAGACGAACTCATGTACACCATTCCGTTCCTTGAAACTGTCGCTGGCGATGCGTTGTCAATGTTATGAGGCTCGAAAATAATCTTGCAATTCGGCGACATAGGAATACGATCTCCATTGGCAAGAGTTAACGTCTTGTTGTCATCCAGCACACTGTTTAGATTCTCGATCCAGATGGCATCAACAGGACCATCTAGGACAAGCCAGATGCTCTCATTCTAAGAGTAAAGAAGTGGAAATGATCATTTTGACATTTGTGATTTCTTGTGAAACTAAACAGCACTCTCATATGACGAAAGTTCATTCTACATAAATAAGGGAGTTGCAGGTTTTTTTTCAGTTGTGTAGATTTTACAAAGTGGAGTGTGAATCATTCTATACACATATTAAAAAAAGCATTAACATTCCCAGTAAAAAACAAATCAAAGTTTATTAATAGGAAATATATTTTTACAACCAAAATTCATAAACAACTGTTTGTACCTTCTTAGCTTTGAGAGTTTTGCGCCATAATGTTGAGAATATGCCATCTGTCCAGTCATTGGTTGCCACATCTAAACGGCCAAACATCTGCGGAGCTGTAATGGCCTTAGGGTTCATGCGCATCTCACGATGTGGTGACCCACAGTCTCCCATCGCTTTCATCAAGATGCCAATACACTTAGTCTTTCCTGAAATAAACACAAAATCAGTTACGTAATAAGAAAATCCTACCACCAAAAGCTTTAAAATCTTTCAAAGATTAGCCTATCCAATCAAAACCTGAAATTATTTGAAGATTAACATATCAATTCAGAAGTTTACTCACTTTTAATTTAAGAGTGAAAAGCAATAATTTTTAGATTAGCATGTATGTGATTTAGAAGCATAACATTTTTTTAAAGATAAGCAAATCCAATAAAAGAAGCATTAAATTCATTTACATATTAGCATAATTATTCTAAAAGAATTAAACAATTTAATGATTTGCATATCCAATGATCAATTATACTTAATGTGTTTGTTAAACTAAATGGCATATTCCAAAAGTTCTCTGTACCTATGTAAAATTACTTACCAGCACCACTGGGTCCCAATGTCATCATTCCGTGTCGAACTCTCTGAGTTTCAAAAAGTTGAATCAATTTCAGTACCCATGGGGGATGGAAGACAAGGCCAGCATCATTTACCTGGTAACACAAAATAATTAAGCGTATTCAATTCAAAATTATATTATACAATCTCAAATGTTGTAAGGTTTGGAACCCTTTATGAAGTTATGCCTAAACCTCACCATAACAAATCACCAAAGACTTCATTCTGCCATTGACACAATCTAAATACATGAGGCTTGCCATCTCAAAAACCAGTGTACTGTCACTAACTGAGTAAATTAGCATAAGATTGCAGCAGTATTGTAAGCTTCAGTACAGAAAAGTAATACTTTTACTCATAACTTTAGAAGGAAGTCAATTCCATTAATGATCTATCATTGTAAAACTAATAATGTGGAGAATATGAATATATTAAAAAGTAAATTACTGATGCTGGTTTTGCCATGGAAAGCCCCATATATTCAAAGGACTTTTTTCATTAAAAAAATTGTTAATTTTTTTCATTCTCCTAAAAATATATGGCACCTTTCAAAATTTGGAACTCTCCTTCTGTTACACTGTTTAAGCAAAACCTATTAACAGAAATTAATACCAAAGTAATGCACAATACCTGTTTTTCAATAGCAGCTTCGATATCTGGGTAGCCAGCTTTGTCTAACTGCATTCCAGGGAACAAATCATCAATCAACGACAGGAAAAGTGGCTCATCTTCATCAACCTGGTACCACAAAATAATAAGATGATGTAACTTTATTATTAGACATTATTATTATTATTATTATTATTATTATTATATTCATGGTACATTTCTATTTACAATTATATATACTGTATCAACATTAATTGACATCATAATCATATCTTAATGTTTGATAAATTAATTTTTAAAAATCGTACCAATTTTGAGAGGTTCATGTCGCGTAGAACTCTCATCACAATCATTGATTCGCTGTCATTTGGACTTGAACGTTTGACTGCGCCGAGCGTCCTCAGCACCGACAGAATGTTCCTCAAACCGAAGTCGTAATGCACTTGCTTCGTCAGCTGCTCTTCACAAAGTTTATACAATGTGTAAAACTTCCTGGCAAGCAAAACATTGCCCTGGAAACCACAGCTTGCCAGTTTGACACGAATAATGATCTGTCTGTCAGGAACCATCATGGCTACTGTACGGAATTGGATTTTAAGGTTCTCCGGTAGCTCCTGTCTTCCAGCATAACCAGGATTCTACAAGAAAAAAAATATGTTACTTTTTATAGCTCAAATTAACAAAGTAATTGGATTTCTGCCAAAGTGAATGCCGCAGGATCTATTACTAAGTTGAGCATCGATATCAAGTTGTAGTAGCCTTTGACATACTTATTTGGTGATTTTCACTGGAACAGTATACATTATACTGTACTTAAATGTCACTTACCACTAAAAACTATAGGCGTACGAAACATATTGTACCGTGCGACTGCCCTATGTAAGTTTTCAACAAAGTAATCAGTGAACTTAAATGGGACAACTATTAGAGAAAATAAGACTTGGTTGTGCCATCCGGTAAAAATGAGATATATCATAGTAAGTAAACTATATTCCATAATAAAACAAACAAAATGCACATTTCTGATTCAAGATTATAATGACATCATGTAAAAAATATGTACCATTGTCAAAAATATGGCGAATTCTGGATCCATACTGACAACGTCCCCATCGGTAAATATGAATGTTGGTTTACGTTCTTTCTTGCATGTCAGTACAATAGCAATTTGCTGAGCAGCCACTGATAAGACCGGAAGTTCAATGCGGTTGAACTCATCGAAGCAGCCCCAGCTACCAGATTGTGCAAGTCCTGTAAGTAGATATTCAAGCACAAGTTAAGGTTTAAGTTTAAAAGATTTTAAGATAAAATATTAATAAAATTTGTAATCCTGTGTTAGAGAAGTTATCCTGCCAAAATCATGTAGAAGAAAAATTAAAATACATCATAATTTACAAATAAAAAATTGTGAGTAGTGTAGTAATAATGGGTGCTGTTTGGTCCTTGCTTAAATGTAAAGTTGTATAATGAATGTGGATGTTGTTATTGCCTACATATAAAAGCCTATATGCTGCTGTTATTTTTATAATTATCAATATCAATATCATTAATATCATTGTGCATAATGTTATGAAGAAGCATTGTAACTATACACATATTTTTTTTTATAAATTCATAATATTAAGTAACAATCTTGATATACTGTAGATATACCTTTATATATCCTTCCTAAGCCACGGAAGTCCATCTGGTCAGAGCAGTTGAAGACAACTACATATTTGCCAAGGGCTTTTCCCATGTCTTTGGTGGTCTCTGTCTTGCCTGTACCTGCAGGCCCTGCTGGTGCTCCTCCCATGCTCATTCCCAAAGCCTGTGCTAATGTGATGTAACACCTACAGACATAAATACAAAAATGTTAGCCTCTGTATCAAATTCTTTTATTCATCAAACTATCAACACATCAACTCATCCATCCATCGTCTGTCAAACCTAGATAGAACCGTCTATCTATCTACCCACCCATTCATTTTCCATTCATTTCTCCTCATACATCCATCCTGAATAGATGGTTAACAGATTGATGACTCAGCTATCAGCTAATCACAAATCCATCCACCCACTTATCTACCCATCCACCTATGTATCTAGCCACTTATCTACCCATCCACCTACGTATCTATCTATCATCAATCAATCAACCTATCCATCCATTCACATATACATCCTTCATCTATCTCACTATCCATCTATCATTCCATTCAACAATCCAAACATTCGTTCACTCATCCATCCATCCAAATGCCTATCATGCCTTTATTCATCTATTATTCATTCATCCACGTCTCCATCCATATATATGATCCCTTTTCAAGTTTGTCAGTTACACATGTTTCCATTAACCATTACAGTAGAATTTCCTACCAACTATTATTACCATTAATTTTAAAACATTTTTATGATTTACCTGTCAGTAAGTGGAGTAATGACGAGACGGTCAGTGCATCCAACCGGTTCGTTCATGTAGCTGAAATCAACATCTGTCACTGAGATGAGGCACTGATCAGTGTCATCATTGAAGTAGAATCGAGACTGCTTCAACCACTCAAAATCATTTATCGATTTGACATGCATTCTTACCTGCAAATGTAATTGATAAAATACACAAATCAGCAATGATTTTGGTAGTCTGTGGGTGAGATACTTACTTCAACCTAAACCTATGGACCCCTATGGAAATAATTGTCTTTTCCTGCAATTTTAGGGTTATCCCCTATATGATCTTTTTTTATTTAATCTGTTCATGTGCATTTGTTTCTGTTGTATTTTTTAAAGAGCATATTAAATAAATCAAATCTACTAATTGCCATTGTCCCTTTAAATGAACACCCCCACCAAAACAATAGAATTGTCAGTCCCAGACCACCATATGACAACCTCAAGGGCCAGCCCAAATGCATGTCCAAATAAATGATGGAAATGTCAAGTATTATATCAAATTTCAGGGCTTGAATGTGGTTGTCATTCGTTGAGCAACAACAAAGGAATGAGGATGATCCTTGGGCGTAGTCATGTGCTGCGACAATCGGTCGGTTCTGTTTTTGTCGTAGGGGTGATCTTATAGGTACAATGGCAATTAGTCGGTTTATCCAGGTAAGTATTCACAAAATAGACTTTAATTCACATTAATATTGTACATACCAGATCATCAAAGATATCACGCTGATGTACATGTATTGTAACCAGAGTCTCAAATTTGGTCCTTTCATACTTGGTGAGATCTTGTGTTGTAACATCAATGAGCGTGTTCAGGATATCCAAGAAGTATTGATTGGTCGTTCCCATTATCTGAAAAGGCAAATAATCAACAGAAATTATGACATCATACAAACAATATATAACAATTAAATATAGACAATATTTATGACTTAAATAGTATTATATATTTTTTGTTCCTCATATCTTTTCTCATTGGCAATGATACAATGTAACACGCTCACTTGTGTTATAAATTCAAACTCAGTGAAAGTAAAAAATTATATATCTATTATATACTGCACTTTGGAAAATTCAAATTTTTTTGTGGTAAGCTCTACAAAAGAAAACTTCACTTCTTTAAAAAATCAAACTTTAGGCTCAAGGACCAAGGATATGCCAACAGCAAAACTTTTTGGGTCTGCGCAAGGTGCTGACCCCAGAAACCTCACTGCTGTTCTTGTTCTCAAAACTTTAAAAGCGTCCAGTGTCACCAGTTTTAAACAGACTTGCAGAAAATTTTGTACACATAAACTAGAGGTGATTTCCAACAAACGTTCATCGCCCTTTTTTTAAGTTAGACCCCAGGGTTCCCCTACACCTACAAAACAAAACAGGGGTTTCAGCAAGGACTGTACATTACTGCCATTACCACTAGTAGGGTTCGTCGCATTGATGGCGTGGTCAGTGAAGGATGTGTTCTAAAGAACCAAAGGTTGTGAGTTTGAATTTCGTCTTGGTATTCATTTCCTTTTTTCAATTTTAAGACATTTTTTTTTTTTTTTTAAATTTTGAGACATTTTAATTTTGTACAAATGAACATTCTAAATAATAATTTTTTTTTGTACAAATAAACATTCTAATTATTTAAACATTTCTATTTTATTAGCTCTTCCAAAAAAACTTAATATAATAACTTGCGCCTGTAACCGCATTTAAGCATGGAGGAACGTGCGGACCAGTAAGCAGTCGCTCTTGTTTAAGTTGCAGTTCCTTCACAAGACAAACATACACAAAAGATGCTCTACATAGACTAACACTCATTATTAGGCTTAGGGAGTGGAGTTGGTCGTGAGAAAAACCCTGTTTACTGAGACAAGAATCGAACCGAGGATACTAAGATTGGAAAGCAATCACATTACCAATAAAATCCACTCCAATCCATTGATTTATCTAAGTATTAATTTTTTAAAAATACACAGTCACAATATACGTACCTTTTTATCTGACCTAGCATTCTTCAATGCTTCCTCACTATCTCTTGTCCACAACATTTGAATTCCAAGCAATCCAATTTGCGCTGCATATGTGTTCTCAAATTCTATTAACTTAAAATTCTCTTTATCCTGAATTGCTATATACGCAGTTCTAATGATTCCATGAATAGAGTGACGGATTGTCTTTAGAAGTTCCCCAAGCCAAATCTCTACATTACCCTGAAAGCATAAATAGGAGATATGGTAAATAATTCTTGAAAACAAATATTCCACTACAATTAGAAGTTTAAAGAATAAAGATTATATTCAAGTTACAAAGAATTTTACCTGGGCATTGACTGGGGCATCGAGATCAATTTTCTCCTTTTCTCGAGAACCTATTGCAAGAATCTGATCATAATTTTTCTCATGGAAATCCACTGTCTTCACATTATCAAACAACCCTTCGAGATGAGCCTAAAAAGAAAAAAAATAATCAGATATTAGATCAAATATCTTTTGAACTTTGTTCTTAACTATAGTTCAGAACAAAGCACCCAAATCAATTAATAATCAATTTGGGATACTGGAGGCTAAGATAATTTCCAATAAGTAAATAAATAAAACAATACTCTTGATTTGATTTTTCATCTTTAATTTCAACAGTGGATAACTCACCCAAACTATGAGGCTCATTAGAAAAACTAGATATACACTATCAGAATTGTGTCTGATCTCGGTATATGGTGACTAATCCACATTTACTTTAACATAAGAGTAACTTAAATTAATGTTATGAAGGATAAATTTTCTTTAATTCGTAATACATGCATAATCCTTTTACCTAGAAATTTTAATTTATTTTTATAATGACATTGTTTTGTTGTTATTATTATTATTATTATTATTGTTTTTATTATTTCATTATTTTTATTGATACTATTGTTATTGATATCATTGTTATTGTTCCTATTGTTATTATTTTTTTTATACATGATAATGTGTATTATTAATTATTACCTGTATGCAATTCTATTTCTGCATCAGGAGGCTATAGCTTAAAGGTAGTTTTGCATTGCACTTTAACTTAATTTGCCTCCCCTACTCACATCTTGACGATGTTCTTACCTACTATGCATGTAATTGTATTGTGAATTTTGTATGAGGTGGAAAATAAAGATTCTGATTCTGTTTGTCAAGCATGTCAGCACGTCTAATGAAGTAGAGAACTATCCAAAGACAGAATTACCAACAGACATGGAACAACACAGGCTTTGTTTGATCAGATATGTCTAAAACAAACAAACACTATTTAGCATAGCCATCTCAAATACAGGTCTCCCTTCAATTAAAGACCACTTTTGGGACTGGGGTTTCTATGGTCTTCAGCACCTTTGGTCTCTCATTGGAATAATAAAAATAAAAGACATTTGTTAAATTGGGACCACAGAAAAGTGGTCTTTAATTGGAGGTGGGTCTTTAATTGGAAGGGTCTTCAATTAGAGGGAGACCGGTATTTGCAAAAACTTGCACCCCACATTCTGGGATTAGAAGACAAGCACTTTAACTACAAAACTACAGCCACGCCCTTTACCTGGATTGTATGAGAATCTGAAGCTTGTCCAAGTATCTCCAACAGTGCTGGGTCGGATACAAAGAAGAATCTTGGGAAGACCAATCGTTTCTTCTCCAAGTATCCTGTCAATGATTTCTGACAGATCTCCAGCTGCTCCAGAAGATGCGGTAGAAGTTGGTTCATTGTGTCATCACCAACGCAACACTGCACTACATTTGTGTTCTCGTGGGCCTTCTGCATAATCTTCACCCAGGATTTATCAATATTGCTGAACCGCTTGGCTTCCTAAAAGCAGTAAGTCAAGTATGTTTACAAAATATTTTTTAATACAAATGCAGATTATAGTACATAAAATTTGTTTTCCTAAGTTTCATATTCAACTTTAGCAGTGTGCATATATTGAATCATAGGCATAAATTTTTAAAATTTTAACTAATTGTAAGGATAATAATATACAGTATAAGAATATAAATATCCAGAAGATTCAAATTTTCAGTCTTTTTGCAGTGATTGTTGTCATAATTTTAAATTTTCTCATCTTTAAATATATATTTCAACATTACCCAAAAAGATCACATATTTAATAAAAATATACAAGTACCTAAATTGGAATACATTTTTAATAGCCTATCTATTAGCCACTGATTGGTCGGGAAAACCAGAAGGGGGAGTCTGTTTTTAACCACATCATTATGTTATTATTATTACCTGTGGCAATTGTTTAGCAATGTCACCTCCAACAAACACAGCTTCAAGGTAAACCCATAGGTTCTGCACCTGCATCCAATTCTCAATGATTTCTGTTGTGTTGGACAATTTCTGAACCCACTTTTGAATATCAGGCTTGAATGGAGCATTGTACCTGGTATAAACAAATAATAAAATAACAACATCTTAGAATGATTACACAAAATATAAAATGTAACATAAGATCAATGAATGCTTGAATGAATATGATTATAACAATAAAAATTTAATAACAATAATAATAATACTAATAACAGGTAGATTTATATACTAAAGTAAACAAATATTATTTTCAAAAAAAATATTATTATGAGCTACTAAAAATAATGACTGCAGGAATAAGAATGCATATGTGGTGGTTAGTATGGATAAAAAGTCCTATTCTCTTCAAAGGGACAATTGTACAAAAATTCCAAGAAGACCAACCTGTTACTCATGAGGGAACCGAGAACCATAAGACTGTCTTCCATCAGTGAGATGGTCTCTCCAGTGGCATCTCCTTTCAGCATCAGTTCTCCTCTTGTCTTGAACACAAATGGACGCCAGTATTCGCCAAACATCATTCAATAAACTATAGAGAAAATAGAACATCTATTTTCTCTATTATTAAACGTAGGCATCAATATATATTATATACAGCAACTAGGCCTATGCAACTACTGTACAATTAATATTGGGTACCTCGTGTGTGTGGATGTGATCAGTTCAACAGCTGTCTCTTATACACATCTAGATGTGTATAAGAGACAGGTCGATCGAGACTACAATAAACAAAGGATATCTTGCAAGTTGAAAATAAATCCACAAAATAAGATAGCTTGAAAAGACTGCAAGTAATTTCAAAGGCTGGGTGTATCCAACTTCGAACAACGTCGAAAAGGGAATGAGGACGTTTGTTAGGGAGACGGTTCGCACGAGGCGCCTTGGGTCGGACTGTTCCATTATTTTCGAAGGGGTGTTCCGTTTTGGGAACAATGGCAATTAGTCGGTTATCCAGGTAAGTATTCACGAAATAGACTTAAATATCATGATTATCAATAACAGTAATTTTAAATGAAAAATTTATAAACTTCACTTACGAGGTGTCATAGTCTGAATAGAATTCCTTCACCTTCTCCTGGTATTGCGCAACGCCATCTAGCAGGTTGGCCTTGAATTTTGGTTGAATTACCAAAAGATGAGATTGAACTTGCAAAGCCTATGAACAAACAAAAATAGACATTAACATTTTTAAAACATTTTTTTCAGGATGACTGAAGTGGATATCACAGCCCATGTCTAGGTCTGAATGAGCCTATGCACTGCATCATAAGCCAATCACAGCATGACATGGCTCAGCATGTTTACATTTTTATAGATGAATGAATTTTTAAAATGTGAACAAAATAAAATGGGTTCACAATGTGTATAGTTCATTTGGCATAGAAAGATGAAATGTTCAATAGTGCCAATGAAAAAATATGGTGAGTATATTAAAAACAAATACACATATTTCTTTCGATAAGTTAAATTTTTAAATGGAACACTTACATAAATTATTTTATGTAGAAAAATGTTTACCTGCGCAACAAGCTTTTGCCAAGCATATGTCAAGCTATCAACCTTCTCCGCATTGCCATCGTTAAAGTGCAATTCAAATTTATTAAGCAACGCATACGACTCTTCAATAGGTCCAATAGTCATGTCGATTCTAACCTCCGATTCACGTATTATTGACAGTGAATCCATTGCTGCACGCACGTCATCGAGGTCTTGGATTGGCCGCGACAGCCTCTTCTGGAGATTATCAATGAAATCAAAGATCTCCATCATGTCTGTGCTTGCTTTGGCATTCAGAGCACGCCCAAAGGCATTCTTCCACGCTCTAGCCTCTGCAGTGAGGGCATCAAGTAATTTATCTGTCACGCAGACGATTGCTCCAACTTTACGTGTGCCTGGAAGTTCTTCTACCGTGGCTTGTAGATTTCGATAGTAACGTATTTGAGCCTCAATTTCGGAGAGCAGAGGCTTTGCTTCCATGAATTGTTTCACCTTTTCTTCGGGATCCTAAGGCAAACATAAAGAAATATGTTTGAGCTTTTGAGTTTTTAATAGCATACAGACAAGAAGTAGGTCCAGGAATTTGAAAACACTTGCACTAAGAGAGAACCACTTTTTCTAACCTTTAAACTTTAACCCCTAATTACTAATCATGTGAAGCACCAAGAATCATTAAATGCTGTAAAGTATGCTGATGGAGAAAAAGCACACAAGTGATAAAATTGATAATTTTCTATACCATATAAAGAAGACCGGATGAAATTCTCTGATGAAAAAATTACCTCATTCCACAATTCTGAGAATCGTGCGTAACTTTCAAGAACCTCAATGCATTCTGTTTTGAATGTACTTGTGATGGAATTGAGAGTGATTACTACTTTGATGACATCTTTGTGCTCTGAAATAACCTTATATAGCGGTTTCTGAGTCATGTTCAAAAGAGCAACTTTAGAATCTTCTTTTTCATCCTTGTTTGCTTCTTCAATTTCCTAAAAATAAACAAATGATTTAATTGTGAAAAATAAGATTCATATCAGACAATAAACTTTAATCTTTAAGTAACACTCCACAACACTCGCTAACTTCAAACAGCTCCTCAATTCTTCTATTATATTTAATCCCTTATTTCCAATTTTTCAACACCAGCATTCCGTGACAAAAACAGCTAAAGGGCATTAGAAATAGTTAAAAGCACTACATAAAAGACAAAACGTTTTTTATTATTGTTATCCATGTGAAAAAAATTTGATGTCTTGAAATATTAGTTTCTACTGTAGCATATGTTTTTTATAGTGAATAAAAAGGAATGCCACTAACTATATGACTTTTTCAGAAATGACGATAGCATTCAACATTTATACTGTAATGATCATGACTAAATAAACATTCTATTATATACTATGTGCATACCTTAAGTGCAGATCTCTGGTTGATCAGTGTCTGCTCCCACTGGGGTATATTCTGTGCCATCCTAAGTATCACATGTACTGCCTTGTTCATTATCTGCTGAGCATCGTCTAAACTGGGACGCATCACCACAGTTGGAATCGCAAGAACAATATCGGACTTAAACAGAGGAATCTTATTCTCTTCATCTTTGTCAGATAAGGTACGTGTGTACTTGCTCGTTGATGTCTGCATTCTACGTTTGATTGCATCTAGAGACAATCGCGTACCTGAAATACAAAAAAATATTCTTTCTTATGTAATCAACTCAACAAGTTCTAATGTTCATCTATAGTACTTTCCAGTGCAAATACTTAATGTTGAAAGAATTGAAAAATAAATAGAAGAGAATAACGATAAGTGACTAACACTTGATGAGAGCATCGGTGTTTCTTTGAGCAAAGCTGGCCAACATTGCATGGTAACTACAAGGCAGACACTCCATGCAACGCTGTTTCTTGTTACGGGAGTCAGGTTGCATGCATGCATAGTTCTCGTAGAGGTTTGTGAGTTCACTCTCTTGCAGGCTGTTCTTCAAAGTGTCCACAAGCTCCTGTACGGCACGCTCAACTGCACCACTTTGTCTGTAAAAGGTTCAAGTTAATAATTATCATTTTAAAAACTTGGCAATGCTTTGAAGATTTGTTTACTTATTGCTTTATATCAGAAATACCTTTAGTTTTCCTATATAAAAAAAAAATCAGTCTGAGTCCGTCTATACAAGTCATTATCATTTCCATCCATATATTATATAATTTATTAAGCCAATACATGGGCTTATCAAGGTTCATTCAGGCTGTATAGTCTCTAATTAAATATACAGACATTTATTGCCAATTGATCAGCTTTGGCTGGATGGATCACCCTCACAAAATATTGTTTAAATAAAATTAATAAAATGCATTTATTTTAATGAATACAATGCACTATATAAAAAGAAGAATATGTTTATGTATCTAATGATCAGAGTAAAAATCAAAATTTTGTTATAAATATTCATGTTATCTATTAAACAATTATTATTAAACAACCTTTCATTTATGCAATCTACCTTGTAAGTGTTTTGCAGGATTCATTACAAGTCTGCTCTGTCTGTGCAAGGAATTCCTGGATGGTGATTGGTTCATCAGGTAGGTAACAGAGGGCGGTACATGCCATTTCTTTGAGCACGGCATCAATACGGCATTCCAGAAGATCTGTAACTTGTTTCACCAGGCGTTTCATAAATGTCAACTCCTCATGAATATGCACAGAATCTGTAATGATTATCAAAATTTAAACAGAAATTTTTTTAACAATTATTTTAAATATAGTGGTGATTATATAGGGAATAAGGTTGTTTTGAGAAATTGTAATATTTTCCATGTTATAAGTAATTGTTAATAAGTTCTCGCATCAAAGATTATCAGCCTTTAAAGCCAGGCACTCACTGCCTCGTATGATGGTCGCACAAAAAATCAAACTCCGCTCCACTTTGAGCTTTAGACGACATGGCGCCATCTGTTGATTGTTGGTGGATATCTGAACAGATTTCCAATAAAAACAATCCATTGCATGAGCATTGTTCAACTATTTACAATATCCTTGACTTCTTCCAAACTTTCTATGAACAATACATTCTATTCTTTTCCATCAACTTCACCCCCTTAAAAAACTTATCCATCAAAACAATATTACCAGAGCACTGAAATTCTTACATTGGTCAATGCTGAGGGAAGTCCAATTGAGCCTGGTGAGTCCAGGTTCAAGGGCGTCTTCAATGCGTTTGCAGTAAGGATGCATCAGTGGTTGGAGTACTGCTGGAATCTGAGCCTTGGTGCCTTCATACTCTTTAATAACATCTGTCAACCTAAAATAATAAGACAACATTTAAGGTACAAGACAGAAAAGGATCTGCACCTTTACATGACAAAAATAGATCTGAACCTTTTAAAATGGACCATTTTGATAAGCCCCACTCCTTTGGAAATTGTTGCCAAGGTTTCATGTTTTGCAAATCTTCATTTTATCAAATCTTCTGGAAATCTTGCTTAAAAAACTTACCTTTCAGTAAAGTCATAAAAAATTGAGGAAGTACATTTGCACTTGGCATTGACATGGGATGGACAGTTCTGTTAATTTCAACTGTTTTGTAGTTTGAAGGAACAATAGTCAGAATAGTCTGTTTATCCAACAAAAATTTACAAAATAGAATATTTAAATATTCAATGAACCGACTTGTGAATAACTTACATGTTGAAATGCGCTTTGATTTCTTCCTCCCTCATGACAAGTTCATATGCAGCTTCTGGTACCTCAAGGTTCATCTTTACCAAGTGTTTGGTCTCTGCAATCAGCTCAAGCACTTGTGGGTCAAAGTTTACAAACAACTGCTTTGTCTCTGGATGACGTATAAGCAGAGATGATTGGAGACCAGACTTGACAGCATCAACAGCTCTGAACCAACCACGATGATACAACAACTGAAGAAATAATAAATAATGTAATATTGTCAATGTGTTAAAATTTATTTGCAAAAGGTGACGGCTTACTTTGACAAAAGCAACAAAGGGCAAGAAAAAGTAGAAGGCAACTCATGTTATAAACTTTGTATCTGCAAAGAAAGGTGCTAAAAGTAACTGAAGAATGAATTATTGCTATTTGGCTTCATAAGGCTGAATGGAAGGCCACTAAAAAAACCCACCAAAATTTGCCTTATACTCAAGCAATAAAAGGAAAACAAAATAAAACTCTTACATACTCCAAAAAGCACATTAGGGGAAAGCAGAAATGGGAGACAACTTACCTCATATTCTAAAAGCACTGCGGCCATCTTGTTGAAATTGCGAATAATTCTTTTTGCTTCAGAGGTCTTAAAGAGATTAAAAGTTCAAGATTTGATTTCCAAATGGATAGACATAAATTGAAAAGCAAAATTTGTTAGAGGCACAGTAAGATCATATCATAATAAATATAATGTACCTGAATGTGATTCCTGCTTATAGTTATATATAAGGCCTTGTCCACCGGTACACTATAAAGTTTTTTTCAGAAAGTACCTGTCATTTGCCCATATATGGGTGTGATATAAAATCATCATGCCAATATATGAGTATGATGTGACATTTTTCACACACATTGATAGTATTATGACGAGTTCATGATAGTGATATCTGTGCTTACTTGCAATACTTGGCCAATTACATAACTATATATATCAAACATAATAAATTACTAATAAATAATATATACTTGGAAATTGATAAACAATTTTATACCCTTAAAATATCAGGCTTTTTCTTAAAAGCCTTCATGGGTAAGTCTACCCTTCGATATAGCTGTCGAGCCCATGTGATCTTGCCAGCGACTGGAGGCACATTGCGGGGAATGGTAGGCTCATCTTTGCCTTTCTGATACAACTTGCGGACGGATTCTAAGTCGCGTCCATAGCTTGACAATACGCGCATGTACTTCTCATTCAAGTTCAGATGATCTGATGCATTTATACGTTCAAATTTGCTCAACAAATCAAGAGCTTTCTCAGTCTGAAAGATAAAATAATATTTAATATATAGTATAATATAAAGGTGAGTGTAATTGAACAGTAAAATTGTAGAAATATACAATGGTATTTGATACACTTGATACTGAATTTTCAAATTTGTATTTATAAATCATAATGAAAAAAAAAATATTATAAAACATTAGTTTACTCACAGTCAAACTTCTGTCGAACCAAGAATCCAGAAAATTTTGAAGATGTGTATACACACTCTCAATTTGAACTCTGAACTCTAGATAATCAATATCAAACTGAAAAAACAAAATGAATAAATTATAATGTGAAGTTCCCCTAACCATAATTGGATAGGAAATTGAAATTCAGAATTGCAATAGTTTAAAAAAGTATATTATTTTACTTTCCTTTTGAAAATTAAATCCACAAATAAAATTAGAATGAGATAATTAGCTGGATATACCAATTATTAATAGTTTTAACTACAAAACTACCTTGCCGAGTTTTAGGTTGCAGTGTATCTTAAATGAGACTTGGTGTATATAGAACATCACTTTATTATGTAGGTGATTAGTAAATAGCTGTTGGATGATATTAAATAAAATGAATAAATAGTTTTAGTATAAGTCTGTAGAAGCTGAATAAAGAATATTTCAATCACTTACATCACCCTTCCTGTGATCGAGGACATCATAACCTTTTTTCTTGTATGTTGCGACAATGCCTTGGAAACGAATGAAGATTGATTCAATTCCCTCAACACGTACATCAGCAAGGCCGCTCAGGTTCTCAATGGTGTTCACCATGTCGGCGATTCGTTCAAGTCGTTTACAGAAAGTGTCAAACTTGCCAAAGATGTAGTTCTCACTAAAGGTAAATGGAAAGTAAATAAAAACATTTATTCCAGACTTTTAAACAATGAAGATAAGAAACGTTGTGCCCAATGTGTCTGTCACATAGTTCATGGAACTTCATTTACATGATCAAAAGACATTTATTTTCGTCCATAAAAAACAACAACAATGAAAGAGAGAGCAAAAAGTACAATGCACATAAATATATATAAACAAATTTAAAGATATGGGCCAAGTACAGTATTTTTAATTAAAATTAAAATGTATGAACGAAGGCATATTCCCTTAAAGACTGAGACCTTGAATGAATCAATACACAGATAAAATGCACTACACTACCACCAGGTAACCTTATAGATCATGGTCCTGCCACTTGTTAAGCCGGTTACTCACTGTGTGCAACGGCGACACGATGGCAACATGACGAAGAATGCACACGAAGACGTGAACCCAACGGATCGTCTTTTTAATGAGGATCCGTTCAGACTGCCACTGACAATCAACAGACAGCGTTACGTTGTCTATCGCTCAGCGGAATCAAATATGAATTCGTTGTGCGATGGTCGTACGATCGTCGTACCACGCAGTGTGTGTCCGGCTTTAGTTCTGTATATCACAACTTACCTGAATTCAAACTGCCGTTCCTCTGGGGTCTCCTTCAACTTATCCTTGGTACGATGGAAGCATTGCTGGTACATTTCATTCAAGTAGATACAAGCGTTCAGACGCTTTAATAGTTCTGGTCTGCAATTGCAGTGAGAAAACATACATACCATTAAAAATAGAAATAAAGTCTTAAGCTTATATAAACAATTGAACGTGGACTTATTCTTAGAATATTTTCAATCTTTGGCCTATACGACCAGATCTGATATCTGAATAATAAACTCTGCCCAGATTATATTTTTCTTTACAAAAAAATGTACGATGTGATATGCCTTTAAAAGTGATGTCATCATGACCATATTTAGGCATGTCACATGTTTTTGTCCAATTAAATTTGATAGTCTGGACAGGTTTTAAGGATGTATCTTAACCATCCAGCTCCACATAATTATAATCATTGTAATCAGTATTAATTTCTCTCTCGTACTCATTATATATATATTTTTATCTGTCAAATCATTTGATAACTGATTATTTGTAAACTACCTTTCATGATCCCATATTCTGCTGACACCTTGGTTGATGTAACCTTTGCAAGTGTTGATCATCTGGTTGGTAACTTTGACAAAGAGTGATGTCATCCTCTCTGATGTGTTGTAGTATCTGGAGATGCTATGGATCATGCGGATGGCATTCATCAGACTTGGGATGTGTTCAACCATTGTTGTCTGGAAAAACAAGTTTTTAAATAAAAGTAATCATTACCAGTACTGAAATTAACATAACATGTTATTGCCCTGAGATATACTGTTCTATTATTTCATTCACTTACAAGAATAATGGCAATAGTTGGTTTAAGAAACAGACTAGCAAATCATATTATTGCTCAACCTAATTTTAAGACAGGCAAACAGTTACTCAATATAAAATTTGTTATTTTCTGCAGTAAATTTTTTTAATGAATATCGTCTACAATTAGAGTTCCATGATATTGATAGTTGGGATTGCCGTAATTATAGGTGATTCCCCACCCCATACTGTACTTAAGGAAATTTGGTCAAATTTTGCACATCCCCCATCCCCCATCCCTTATAGTTATCCTGGATATTGTCCAGAGCTGAGTGGTTGGCTGAGAAGTATTGCTCCTGCTTCTTGTGCTGTAGACCCTGATCACTCAGCTCCTCAAAATAGAGTTAGGTGGGCTAATGACTATGTCTGTATCCATTACATGTTGTAGTTAAGCTGCGTGGTGCTGCACGGTGGCTGCCGTGGCTCCCCAAGGGCCCAGTCCAAGTTTCTGATTTCCAATTTGAATGAGGGCAAAAAAAGAATTATTATTATAATCCTGGATATGGCTGTGCAATCTTTCTCTTAATTGTTACGATAACTATCATATTATTCAATAAACTGATACTTACTGGATCACATTTTACCAGTGGTCCAAAGAATTTGTCTAGAGTGTAAAGATACTTGACGTTATCTTTAGCTTCATTGGCTGCATCAGTTATTCGACAATCCAGCTCTTTCCAGTGCTTCAAAGCCTTCGACTTAGCCACATGAAGGACGCCAACAACAGCCTTGCAATGCGCGCTCTTAATCTGTTCAAGCAGGCTGTTGAACTTAGCCATACGTTGCTTCCAATGATCTAGTTCTGCAGTTGGCCCTATATCGTCAGCTTCTTTCCTCATCTGTTCACTCTCTGTTAAAACTTGCTCAATTTGTCTTGCCCATAATAGGATCAAAGCTTCAAGTTTATCCACTGTGTCAGGAATTGATGCTGAGTACAACAGAGACAGGAATAATTAAAGAGGGCTCATACAAATAAGGTTATGTTGTGGCAGGTCTGTTTAATATTAATTATCACAATTATTGGGCATATAACAACAACAAAATAACAACAGAATTACAAAATAGAAAGTTGGTACAATGTTTTCAGCAGAACTTTAATAGAGTATGTGGGTATATTTATTACATATGGTGCATAAAAATGGACAATTCTTTTAATTCTTAAGTAAATTCCAGGTTAGTATTCACAAAGTATGGATTAATTTTACACATATTAGGAAACAGTTTATTTATTTCAACAATCTTTAATGAGGGTGGTCCATCCAGTCGAAGCTGATCATTAGGGACCCTCAATACACATAGTAAAACAAAACAAAAGAGAGTATTAAACAAATTAATTTACAGTAAAATAAATGACAACATTTAGAGTAATGAAGCAGCTGACAGATCAATTTAAAATGTACCAAAGACATTTAAGTAATATTGCAAATCTTACCAGCTGCTTGGAAGTCAGCAGGTGATTTTAGAGTGTCCAGCATTGACTCTAGGTACTCGTGTTCAGCAAGTTGGATGTGGCCATCCATGTTGGCCTTAGCGCCTGACAACATTCCAACAAAACGCTCCAACTGCTCCAGAAATTCAGACATCTGACTATTGTTGGTCAACTCACCCCAGCTCTACAAGATTTTAATGAAATTAAAATTAATAATTGATAGTAACCCTTCTATTATTGATTTAAATATGATAAAGTGGGTTCTGGAGTTGAGATTCTTCATAATAGAGAGCTCCTTTCTTATATCTTTTAAATATCTGAACAATCCAACGAAAAGTCACAAATATAACGGAGAAATCAATTTCACTTGCTTGCATCGCTAGTCAGTTTTAAGGAGCTCGCTGATATGCTTAATACCAAATTATTTTTGAAGTAAAAATAATTGCTTTTTTTGTCCAGTCCATTTTTATAGCATCATAAGACAGTACAAACAGCACTGCCCCGTGACAGAGCAAAAAAAGAAAACCCTACATATTTATTAGCATTATATGGAAGTACAAACAGTACAAAAGTGATGCAACATATTAACATCTAAACCAGGGGTTCTCAACTGGCGGCCCGTGGGCCATCTCCGGCCCGTGAAAACAAGCCGAAAATAATATTTTTCATTAGACTGGGGCCTAGATTTATAAACACAACTGAACTAAAAGCGGATTTTAAACAACTGGCACAACCATCAAAGGCAATTTCAGTCACTAAGGAGGCAACATCATGATTGTAACAATGTAAAATGACATAAGGCCTACGTTCATATGTGATTAAATGTGTTTGTGTTACTGATGACCCATTGTGTGATATAAAACAATTCAACATTTGTTTTAACGACCCCCGTATGAGCATCTAGCAACTTATTACTTTAAAAAAATTCCTAATTTTAGAGGAGGGGCTATGCGCCAAAGTACATCTCTTGCCCTGGCCCTTCCAATTTATTCAATGAACAATGTTGGCCCCTATTGCGATACAGTTGAGAACCCCTAATCTAAACATAATTTAAACACAAAGGGATAACTTACCTCTTGGCTCTTCAAGCACGGGACAAGGACTCTAGAAAACAAAGTACTGAAACCATCAAGGATTTTGCCTCCATTACAATCAATGAAGGTAAACGTAACCTCTTGCGTGATATTGGCAACGGTGATGGCTTTGTTGGTAGTCCGCAGAAAGAAATAACATATTCCGTTTATTCCTTCCGATGTGCCAGTGGTAATAAACACACGTTTCAGTTGTGGAATGGTTGCGATGCTAGCAGTATCCGCTGTTGTAATTGAGGAGAGATTTTTTCACAAATATCGTTATTTAATTCATTTTAAAAATGTAAAACATGGTTACTTTTTTTAACAATTAAAAAACGAGAATTGAAAATTGCAATACTGTAGCCGATAAGAAAAATTAGTGCGGATCCAATGTGGGGGGAATTCCCCCATTGTCCCAAAATAAGAAGAAAAAAAAGAATACAAATACAAAATGTTTCGATAGGGCCTCCAGCCACTATGTTATGCCAATATTGCTAGAGCTCCACACTTACAGTATCTATTATGAAAATTTGGTGTTCTCCCCAATCCCCACCCGTTTGAAAGTGTCTGGATCCGCCCCTGGATTATGATATAAATTCACCTTTACCTGTACGAGAGTGCAGTGTCTCCCTACCACCTGCCTCTTGGTGAAAGAACATGAGTTTACGAGAGCCATCAGCAGCAAAGAAATCACCAATCAAATCAAACTGAAATTATAAACAGTTCATATATAAATATTTAAAACGAATAGAAATAACGCTTATTATTACAACAACAGAAGTACAGAGCCGAAGTTTTACATTTCATTTACGTGTTTTACGTCACATAAGAGAGTAACATCCCAAAAGTGTAACAGTTGAGAGGTTAGTTTTACAAAAGATAATACAATAAATGTACATAAAAGCAAAAAGCTTTCAAAAATGAGTTTGCTATTCTTTGTTCCTCTGCCACCCTTTTGTGCCCCTGTCCCCAAATTATGGATCCCTACCTGTAAAAACAGAACTATTATCTTAATGTGAATGTTTTCCACAAAAGTTTAAAATAAACTATAATGTTAACAAAAAGTAAACCTACCCGTTCATCTCCTAATAAAAAATCTTCAATCTGGGTAACTTCTAGATTTGTAGCCTCAGCAAGCTGTAGGAATAATTGAAATCAATAAAAACTACTTAAAATACTATCAGATTTTTGATTGTCAGGACTAAACAAACATTGTCACTGATAGTTTATGCCTGGTTTCAAACATATTTCATACTTTTTCAATTGGTGACCCAGCTGGGCTTCCTTGCCAACCTAGCATCCATCTAATTAATTTGTTAATGAACACCGTGCCACTTTACGCTCATTTTCAACAGGGCAGTAAACAGTATCGCACTTCAGTTTGAATTCTGGCAACCATCTTCATGCACCTTGCCCTCTCCAGCAGTTGCAAGTTAAAAAATCAAGGAAGTTAAAATATTAGCAGTTCCATTGAAAGATACACAAATAAATTTAATAGCAATTATATCACATTTTTAAAGTGTCATTTTTAGTGCTAGGCTGATAAAAGTACAGAGATTACAGTATACTAATAGGCACACTAGCATCTCAAATGCCGACTTAGTTTGTAACATACCTTTGAGAAGAGATACTGGTGACGAGCATCCATCTGAGAAACAAGACATTTTATATATTAAACAACTAATCCAATGAATCTTCAAAAAACATTATTAAACAGAGTTTCTACTTAATAATATATGCAATATCACAAAAACACACAAAAATATATGCAATATCTTTTAAACAAAATTACAGAAAACCTAAAATTATGCAACTGTCAGTCAGTCAGACAATTTCATATTTGAGTCTAATTAAATTCTAATAATTATGTCGTATATCCCTTTGTAAATTTTTAGAATCTCTGCTTATCTTAAGGTTTTTATTGTTTATATATATTAATTACATAACCAACCAACAAAAATTGAGTTTTAATGTTTGAAATGTAATATTTGTTTTCAGCAAGGAAAAACATAAGCTCCCAGTGGGAGCATGTGGGTATTGCTTGACAATTATAGATTTTTTTTTTTTTTTGTATTCTATGTGGGACACATTTGGGAGACTGTTAATATCTATCTTTAGTTTAAGATGCAATGGTATCCTCCAATTCCTCTCTTTGAACTCTCAACTTTAATTCACAGAGTTTGAACCCAGGATACCAACATTTTACTGTTACCATGCCACAGTATCAATAAGCTGTATTTGCTTAATCTTTACTCCATTCATACAATATACATGAATAACAATCCAAAGGTCAATGATTGTCCATTTCTTTTTGAAAGATAAATTCCTAAATTCTGGAAACATACCATTGTCCTTCGTTCATCTCTATTCGCTTTGGCTTGCTTGGCCATCTCCTTCATCGCTTCGCTTGACATTACCACATTCTTCTTGGTAACCGACTGAATTAAGAAACAAAGAATTAACGACAAACTTTAAACACATTCACAATTATTAGAAACGCTTTAAATAATTACTTTTCTGTTAGATTTATATGCTGTGTTATTCAGCCATATTACATAAAGTACACAAATTACCAAGTGATTTGGTAGTGTACGAGGGAATACTTACCTGGATGAACAGACTAATTGCCTTTTGAGATCCCGTCGCTTTGGAAACCTCAGCCTCCTGTGCAAGCTTTGCCACACAGTTTCTGCTCTTATGAGCAATGATGTGACCCAGTGGCAGCTGCGTCAGCGGCTGAGTCCCTTGGCCCCTCTATTATCAACCACACCAAGACCCAGACAGAAACATGTTTTAAATTTTGTATTACTAGGTGCTCGTACTTTTCACTGTAACTGCCCATCTTGTGTATGTTAATTAAGGTTCATTTTGAAGTAGCGGATTCAAGAATGGAGGGGGGGGGGAGTGTGGACCATTTCTGGCCATCCAGCGGTTTAATTACCCCCAACCATGGTGGTTGTGTAGTGGGGCTGAGATGGTATACACCCTTGGTCTGTAGAACTCCCTTCATGGGCCTCTTCTATTTTAATTTCCTGGATCCGCCACCGTATTGTATTACTTACCGGGGCATGTAGTCTTCACTTAAGCTGCCCATCTTATGTAAAAGCTTCATTTAGTATTACTTACCGGGGCCTGTAGTCATCACTTAAGCTGCCCATCTTATGTAAAGCTTCATTTTGTATTACTTACCGGGGCAGGGGGCCCTCGCCTATGTTGGCCCGCACCTCCTGTTGGCTTTTTCTTCTCCTTTGAAACCACTTCATCTTTTTCTTCTTTCTTTTCAGCTGAGGTGAATAAAACATTTAGGATTTTTAATGTCAACAATAATTATAATAACCTAAAGTAAATGCTGGAATAAAAGCTGCTGCGCTTATAACATTTTTTGAGGTTTCAGTGCGGCGTTTATTTGAAAGCAGCACTTAATCGAGAGCGGCGCTTATAAAAAAAAATGTCTATGCCCATTTCCATGCTACCTATCTCACATATTCCTGTAGTTCAGAAGGACTATCATAGGTCCTACGTCATCATAAATAAATGTTTACAAAGAAATTCTTGTGTCTTCATTGTGTTATGTATTCATTTTAACACTGTAATGTATTTAAAACCCTGTTTTTTAAAATGTTTCATTACACGCAGTGTAATATACTCTAAATTCCCTGGCCCCACTGGCGCAACCACTGGTTGTGAGGTGCTTGAAACCATCTTCTAAAATCTAAGTTCTGGAGTTGTATCATCAGAGTCAATACAAACCCTTGTTACTTTTTTAGCACACGCCAATCTCGCAGAGATTGACTGGATTTTGGTACAATTTTGATGACTTATTGTTGATCATGAAAAAAACAATGACGTTATAATACCATAACAAAAACCGAATACAATCAACAACAAAACACTTGTTTATAAAACTTCGCTTACGTTTTGCAACCGAGATCAACGGAGGTCCAATGTCTTGGTCTGGCTTTGGCGAATCAGGCTTGTTAGCTTCCTTCTCGCTTACGGGACCCGCTTCTGATTGAGAAGGCTGAGGTGCAGCTTCTCCTTTTCCCTCGCCATCCTCCATGGCTATATATTCTAAAATCTGAAAGCAAACAACTGGGCCCAATTCTGTTTTATAGAATAGTAAACAACCAACAGTAAATCTGCACAGCGTCTACGGGGTATAGAGGCCGACTTTTAGAAACTGCGAACAGCGACTGTGTACCACACAACCACAAAATTATTGCGCGCCATTAAAAAAAAAATTCTTCGTTAGCGTTAATTAATTTGCTTTAAGCAGGTATGCATAAGCTGTGTATTCAAAATTATAATGAATTCTTATTTTCTAAAATAGTGCATTCATGTTGCTAATCAACGTATTTATATTAATTTAGATGCGAACTATTTCATTCTGAAACGTGAGATAATATTTTGTGCACCACATTACCATGGAGACAGACAACATTGCGGTGGTTGGTCAATCAATCAATGCTAGGTCCATTCTGACACTACACAGGTAGCCTACATTCACTCAACCATGACATCTAATCGGAAATCTTACACCGCTAATCCAATATGAACGCCATACCAGGAAAGCGACATTTTTAGTTATCGACTCTAAAAAAGGATAAGGGCATCATAAAACACAATTCGGTTTGGGTAAAAGAATATTGTAAGCACGTGTTTAACACGTAGGCCTAACTAAATGTTCACAGTTATCGTTGTAGTACACATCTACAGGCCCGTATCCAGCTTTTTGAATGGGAGGAGGGGGGGGGGTTGCGTTTTGCGAGCGAATAATTTGCTTTCTTAAGTCCTAGTAGACTATTTGAAGGCATTTTATCATGTTAATCTCTATATGTCCGTGAACACAGATAGGGCCTATCAAAAAATTACCAGTGGAGGACATGGAGAAACAAGCAAATTGTTTCCCAAATGAAAAATATTACTGTATAAATTCGTAACCATTACGAATAAAAATTCAAAATCAATTCTGCTTTTAAATGAAAATAGCAAAGTTTGATATAAAGAGTGGATTAAAAGCGACTGTAAATGAGCTGATTCAAACAACTAGAAGCATTTGAAACAAATTAATCAACATTTTTATTCTTGGCATCGACAGAAAACATACAGAGGTATAAGCATAATTTTACTGTATGTATACGCTATCTATCCATTGAACCCGTGACGGGGTATACTTTATAAAAGGATCATCATGATGAGTATACTCGTCTCTCAGGGTATCTCTGAGAGCGCTAGGAACGATTATACTTGTCTAAACCGGGGTGTCATTCTAGCATTTTGACTTCATTGCTATACACTGACATACCGGCTGGTAGTTAGGGGAAGATACACCTAGACGATAACATGCATATAACGTGTGTATGTTTGTTGTGTTATGTTCAGTGGCGTAGAAAAGTATTTTTCATTGGTGGGGGGGGGGG